AGCCTGTGTGTGTAACAGCACTTGCCCCTACAGCCTGTGTGTGTAACAGCACTTGCCCCTACAACCTGTGTGTGTAACAGCACTTGCCCCTACAGCCTGTGTGTGTGTAGCAGCACTTGTCCCTACAGTCTGTGTGTGTGTAACAGCACTTGCCCCTACAGTCTGTGTGTGTAACAGCACTTGCCCCTACAGCCTGTGTGTGTAACAGCACTTGCCCCTACAGCCTGTGTGTGTAACAGCACTTGCCCCTACAACCTGTGTGTGTAACAGCACTTGCCCTACAACCTGTGTGTGTAGCAGCACTTGCCCCTACAGCCTGTGTGTGTAACAGCACTTGCCCTACAACCTGTGTGTGTAGCAGCACTTGCCCCTACAGCCTGTGTGTGTAACAGCACTTGCCCCTACAACCTGTGTGTGTAGCAGCACTTGCCCCTACAACCTGTGTGTGTGTAACAGCACTTGCCTCTACAGCCTGTGTGTGTAACAGCACTTGCCCCTACAGCCTGTGTGTGTGTAGCAGCACTTGTCCCTACAGCCTGTGTGTGTGTAACAGCACTTGCCCCTACAGTCTGTGTGTGTAACAGCACTTGCCCCTACAGCCTGTGTGTGTAACAGCACTTGCCCCTACAGCCTGTGTGTGTAACAGCACTTGCCCCTACAACCTGTGTGTGTAACAGCACTTGCCCCTACAGCCTGTGTGTGTGTAGCAGCACTTGTCCCTACAGTCTGTGTGTGTGTAACAGCACTTGCCCCTACAGTCTGTGTGTGTAACAGCACTTGCCCCTACAGCCTGTGTGTGTAACAGCACTTGCCCCTACAGCCTGTGTGTGTAACAGCACTTGCCCCTACAACCTGTGTGTGTAACAGCACTTGCCCTACAACCTGTGTGTGTAGCAGCACTTGCCCCTACAGCCTGTGTGTGTAACAGCACTTGCCCCTACAACCTGTGTGTGTAGCAGCACTTGCCCCTACAGCCTGTGTGTGTAGCCGCACTTGCCCCTACAGCCTGTGTGTGTGTAACAGCACTTGCCCCTACAACCTGTGTGTGTAGCAGCACTTGCCCCTACAGCCTGTGTATGTGTAGCAGCACTTGCCCCTACAGCCTGTGTGTGTGTGTAACAGCACTTGCCCCTGCAGCTTGTGTGTGTGTAACAGCACTTGCCTCTACAGCCTGTGTGTGTGTGTGTAACAGCACTTGCCCCTACAGCTTGTGTGTGTGTAGCAGCACTTGCCTCTACAGCCTGTGTGTGTGTAACAGCACTTGCCCCTAGAGCCTGTGTGTGTGTGTAACAGCACTTGCCCCTACAGCCTGTGTGTGTAACAGCACTTGCCCCTACAGCCTGTGTGTGTAACAGCACTTGCCCCTACAGCCTGTGTGTGTGTAACAGCACTTGCTACTACAGCCTGTGTGTGTAACAGCACTTGCCCCTACAGCCTGTGTGTGTGTAACAGTACTTGTCCCTACAGCCTACTAGAGGCTACCCGGGGGAGCTTTATCCGTGTGTGTGGGCGGGGCGAGGCTGCGGGCGCGGGGCGGGGCGGGGACGGAGCTTGGGGGCCACTAGAGCCACGCCCCCAAACGTCACGTGCGTGCGCACTGTACATCGACGCGCGTGCACACTCGTCGCTAACTGTACGCTCGCCGCACGCGCTCTCCGCGCCTGATGATGGCGGCGGCGGCGATTTGAAGCGGGGCCACGGATTCCGCCTTCTCGTCTGACGCGCGTGAGACTGCGTTCGTGGGCGCTTTGCACGAGCCAACGTTGAGGCAACGTTGGGGCAACGTTGAGACAACGTTGGGGCAACATTGAGGCAACGTTGGGGCAACGTTGAGGCAACGTTGGGGCAACGTTCAGGCAACGTTGGGGCAACGTTCAGGCAATGTTTGGCGCCACGGTGGCTAGGAGATGTTGACTACCTCGCCTGGAGTGCAGGAGGTCGTGGGTTCCATCCCTGCCACTGACGACGCCTGCTGCTGTAGATTTGGAGTCTGCGTCTCTCTCATCATCATCATCACGGTGGCTAGATGTTGACTACCTCGCCTGGTGTGCAGGAGGTCGTGGGTTCGATCCCGACCCCTGACAACGCCTGCTGCTGCTGCTGTAGATTTTGGAGTCTGTGGATCTATCTCCAGGTCCTCCACCGGGATGTTTTTTTTCCCCCTCCACATTTAGAATCAACATCGCCACGCGCTTAGAGCGTTCAGCTGCTGCTGTACATGTCCACGTGATGATGGTGGTGATGGTGGTGATGATATCAGCCACGTTCGCTTGTGCTTTAGTTCGTGTGTGTAACAGCACTTGCCCCTACGACCTGTGTGTGTAGCAACACTTGCCCCTACAACCTGTGTGTGTAACAGCACTTGCCCCTACAGCCTGTGTGTGTGTGTAGCAGCACTTGCCCCTACAACCTGTGTGTGTAGCAGCTCTTTCCCCTACAGCCTGTGTGTGTGTAACAGCACTTGCCCCTACAACCTGTGTGTGTAACAGCACTTGCCCCTACAGCCTGTGTGTGTAGCAGCACTTGCCCCTACAGCCTGTGTGTGTGTGTAACAGCACTTGCCCCTACAGCCTGTGTGTGTGAAACAGCACTTTCCCCTACAGCCTGTGTGTGTAACAGCACTTGCCCCTACAACCTGTGTGTGTGAAACAGCACTTGCCCCTACAGGCTCTGTGTGTGTAACAGCACTTGCCCCTACAGCCTGTGTGTGTGTAGCAGCACTTGCCCCTACAGCCTGTGTGTGTAACAGCACTTGCCCCTACAGCCTGTGTGTGTGTAGCAGCACTTGCCCCTACAGCCTGTGTGTGTAACAGCACTTGCCCCTACAGCCTCTGTGTGTGTGTATAACAGCACTTGCCCCTACAGTCTGTGTGTGTAGCAGCACTTGCCCCTACAGCCTGTGTGTGTGTGTAACAGCACTTGCCCCTACAACCTGTGTGTGTAGCAGCACTTGCCCCTACAGCCTGTGTGTGTGTGTAACAGCACTTGCCCCTACAGCCTGTGTGTGTGTGTAACAGCACTTGCCCCTACAGCCTGTGTGTGTAGCAGCACTTGCCCCTACAGCCTGTGTGTGTGTGTAACAGCACTTGCCCCTACAGCCTGTGTGTGTGTGAAACAGCACTTGCCCCTACAGCCTGTGTGTGTAACAGCACTTGCCCCTACAACCTGTGTGTGTGTAGCAGCACTTGCCCCTACAGCCTGTGTGTGTAACAGCACTTGCCCCTACAGCCTGTGTGTGTGTAACAGCACTTGCCCCTACAGCCTGTGTGTGTAACAGCACTTGCCCCTACAGCCTGTGTGTGTGTAGCAGCACTTGCCCCTACAGCCTGTGTGTGTAACAGCACTTGCCCCTACAGCCTGTGTGTGTGTAGCAGCACTTGTCCCTACAGCCTGTGTGTGTAACAGCACTTGCCCCTACAGTCTGTGTGTGTAACAGCACTTGCCCCTACAGCCTGTGTGTGTAACAGCACTTGCCCCTACAGCCTGTGTGTGTAACAGCACTTGCCCCTACAACCTGTGTGTGTAACAGCACTTGCCCCTACAGCCTGTGTGTGTGTAGCAGCACTTGTCCCTACAGTCTGTGTGTGTGTAACAGCACTTGCCCCTACAGTCTGTGTGTGTAACAGCACTTGCCCCTACAGCCTGTGTGTGTAACAGCACTTGCCCCTACAGCCTGTGTGTGTAACAGCACTTGCCCCTACAACCTGTGTGTGTAACAGCACTTGCCCTACAACCTGTGTGTGTAGCAGCACTTGCCCCTACAGCCTGTGTGTGTAACAGCACTTGCCCTACAACCTGTGTGTGTAGCAGCACTTGCCCCTACAGCCTGTGTGTGTAACAGCACTTGCCCCTACAACCTGTGTGTGTAGCAGCACTTGCCCCTACAACCTGTGTGTGTGTAACAGCACTTGCCTCTACAGCCTGTGTGTGTAACAGCACTTGCCCCTACAGCCTGTGTGTGTGTAGCAGCACTTGTCCCTACAGCCTGTGTGTGTGTAACAGCACTTGCCCCTACAGTCTGTGTGTGTAACAGCACTTGCCCCTACAGCCTGTGTGTGTAACAGCACTTGCCCCTACAGCCTGTGTGTGTAACAGCACTTGCCCCTACAACCTGTGTGTGTAACAGCACTTGCCCCTACAGCCTGTGTGTGTGTAGCAGCACTTGTCCCTACAGTCTGTGTGTGTGTAACAGCACTTGCCCCTACAGTCTGTGTGTGTAACAGCACTTGCCCCTACAGCCTGTGTGTGTAACAGCACTTGCCCCTACAGCCTGTGTGTGTAACAGCACTTGCCCCTACAACCTGTGTGTGTAACAGCACTTGCCCTACAACCTGTGTGTGTAGCAGCACTTGCCCCTACAGCCTGTGTGTGTAACAGCACTTGCCCCTACAACCTGTGTGTGTAGCAGCACTTGCCCCTACAGCCTGTGTGTGTAGCCGCACTTGCCCCTACAGCCTGTGTGTGTGTAACAGCACTTGCCCCTACAACCTGTGTGTGTAGCAGCACTTGCCCCTACAGCCTGTGTATGTGTAGCAGCACTTGCCCCTACAGCCTGTGTGTGTGTGTAACAGCACTTGCCCCTGCAGCTTGTGTGTGTGTAACAGCACTTGCCTCTACAGCCTGTGTGTGTGTGTGTAACAGCACTTGCCCCTACAGCTTGTGTGTGTGTAGCAGCACTTGCCTCTACAGCCTGTGTGTGTGTAACAGCACTTGCCCCTAGAGCCTGTGTGTGTGTGTAACAGCACTTGCCCCTACAGCCTGTGTGTGTAACAGCACTTGCCCCTACAGCCTGTGTGTGTAACAGCACTTGCCCCTACAGCCTGTGTGTGTGTAACAGCACTTGCTACTACAGCCTGTGTGTGTAACAGCACTTGCCCCTACAGCCTGTGTGTGTGTAACAGTACTTGTCCCTACAGCCTACTAGAGGCTACCCGGGGGAGCTTTATCCGTGTGTGTGGGCGGGGCGAGGCTGCGGGCGCGGGGCGGGGCGGGGACGGAGCTTGGGGGCCACTAGAGCCACGCCCCCAAACGTCACGTGCGTGCGCACTGTACATCGACGCGCGTGCACACTCGTCGCTAACTGTACGCTCGCCGCACGCGCTCTCCGCGCCTGATGATGGCGGCGGCGGCGATTTGAAGCGGGGCCACGGATTCCGCCTTCTCGTCTGACGCGCGTGAGACTGCGTTCGTGGGCGCTTTGCACGAGCCAACGTTGAGGCAACGTTGGGGCAACGTTGAGGCAACGTTGGGGCAACATTGAGGCAACGTTGGGGCAACGTTGAGGCAACGTTGGGGCAACGTTCAGGCAACGTTGGGGCAACGTTCAGGCAATGTTTGGCGCCACGGTGGCTAGGAGATGTTGACTACCTCGCCTGGAGTGCAGGAGGTCGTGGGTTCCATCCCTGCCACTGACGACGCCTGCTGCTGTAGATTTGGAGTCTGCGTCTCTCTCATCATCATCATCACGGTGGCTAGATGTTGACTACCTCGCCTGCTACACAGGAGGTCGTGGGTTCGATCCCTGCCACTGACCATGCCTGCTGCTGCTGTATATTTGGAGTCTGCGTCTCTCATCATCATCATCACGGTGGCTAGGAGATGTTGACTACCTCGCCTGGTGTGCAGGAGGTCGTGGGTTCCATCCCTGCCACTGACTATTCCTCCTGCTGCTGCTGTAGATTTGGAGTCTGCGTCTCTCTCTCCCCTCCACATTTTAGAATCGCCATCGCCACGCGGCCAGAGTGTCTGCTGCTGCTGCTGTGAATGTCCACACGACGAGGACGATGCCGGCCACCCCCTTCAACCAGCTGCTCCGTCAATGCCGTGACGGCTCTAGGGCAGGGCTCTTCTGAAACGAACCAAAACAAAAGTCTTCCTGAGCCATCGTGATCTAGTGTAGTAGTTTATAGTGTAGTGTATAGTGTGGTATATAGTAGTGTATAGTGTGGTATATAGTGTGGTATATAGTAGTGTATAGTGTAGTGTATAGTACTGTATAGTGTAGTGTATAGTGTGGTATATAGTAGTGTGTAGTGTATATTGTAGTGTATAGTAAGTGTATAGTGTAGTGTATAGTAGTGTATAGTGTGTATAGTACTGTGTAGTGTATAGTAGTGTACAGTAGTGTATAGTAGTATAATGTAGTGTACAGTAGTGTATAGTAGTGTAGTGTTGAACTTCTATTGCACCGTACGTAGCCAACCGCGCTAATCGGATGTGCGGCGGGAATGGGGGGGGGAGCAGCAAACTACAAACAACAACAACAAACCACAACAACAACAAACAGTTCTAAAGAAACGAGCTTTGAAAATTGACCGCGGACTCCAGGCTTGGGTGGCTTGGTGACCCTCACAGAGCGGTAGGCCCTGGTGGCCCTCACAGAGCAGTAGGCCCTGGTGACCCTCACAGAGCGGTAGGCCCTGGTGACCCTCAGAGCGGTAGGCCCTGGTGACCTTCACAGAGCGGTAGGCCCTGGTGACCCTCAGAGCGGTAGGCCCTGGTGACCCTCACAGAGCGGTAGGCCCTGGTGACCTTCACAGAGCGGTAGGCCCTGGTGACCCTCACAGAGCGGTAGGCCCTGGTGGCCCTCACAGAGCAGTAGGCCCTGGTGACCCTCAGAGCGGTAGGCCCTGGTGACCTTCACAGAGCGGTAGGCCCTGGTGACCCTCAGAGCGGTAGGCCCTGGTGACCCTCACAGAGCGGTAGGCCCTGGTGACCTTCACAGAGCGGTAGGCCCTGGTGGCCCTCACAGAGCGGTAGGCCCTGGTGACCCTCACAGAGCGGTAGGCCCTGGTGACCCTCACAGAGCGGTAGGCCCTGGTGACCCTCACAGAGCGGTAGGCCCTGGTGGCCCTCACAGAGCGGTAGGCCCTGGTGACCCTCACAGAGCGGTAGGCCCTGGTGGCCCTCACAGAGCGGTAGGCCCTGGTGGCCCTCAGAGCGGTAGGCCCTGGTGACCGTCACGGAGCGGTAGGCCCTGGTGACCCTCACTGAGCGGTAGGCCCTGGTGACCCTCACAGAGCGGTAGGCCCTGGTGACCCTCACAGAGCGGTAGGCCCTGGTGGCCCTCACAGAGCGGTAGGCCCTGGTGGCCCTCACAGAGCGGTAGGCCCTGGTGACCCTCACAGAGCGGTAGGCCCTGGTGACACAGCGGTAGGCCCTGGTGGCCCTCACAGCGGTAGGCCCTGGTGACCCTCACAGAGCGGTAGGCCCTGGTGGCCCTCACAGAGCGGTAGGCCCTGGTGGCCCCTCTCCCCCCGCCCCAGGGCCCCTTTGAGCCGCGCGTTCCACGTCAGGCCACGGCCCGAGCGTCAGGCGGCCGGGCCGGTGGGGGTGGGGGTGGATCGAGTTGCGTGGCGTCCCGCCGTCTTGACGCGGTTGTCTCTTGGTCAGGGTTGCAGGGACGCCGCCCGTCGACGCCCGACGAGGTTCCTCGCGCGCCTGCTGGGGAGCGACGGCGCGACGGGCGTCGCTCCCCTTCCGCTGCGATCGACGTCCGTGGCCCGCGACGCGAAAATGGTTCCGGCGATCGAGACGGGGCGAAAAAAATGAACGACGCTCGCGAGCGCTTGCGAGCGAGCGAGCGAGCACGTAGGCGACGCGGAGGGATGACGGACCAGGTGGAGCGGCGGCGGCGGATGCTGCTGCGATGCTCGGTGCGCAGCTGGGCCCTCGTGAGCCACGCGGCGCTGCAGGACCACGTGAGGCAGCACAGGATGCGGCCGGAGCCGGCGGCGTTCGGTGCGCGAGTGGTTGCCCCTACGTGACGGACAACAGGCGCGCGCCCGCCACCCGCCGGCGGATGCGCACGGGCGAGAAGCCCTTCCCGTGCGCCGTGAGCCTCGGCCCTCACCGGAAGATCCACGCGGGCGAGAGGACCTACGAGCGCCCCACGTGCCTCAAGGTGTTCGCCAGCCTGGAGACCGTCAGGAGGCACCGGGCGGCGCACGTCGGCGAGAAGCCGTTGCGGTGCGACGCGTGCGGCAGGGCGTACGCCGTGCTGGGCAACCTGGAGCGCCGCGAGGCGACGCACGCCGACGAGCGGCCGTACGTGTGCACGGTGTGCGACGAGGCGTTCGCGCACGCCCAAGGACCTGCGCGGCCACCAGAGGGTTCACCTTTGTAAGAAGAAAGGCTACAAGTGCAAGCGATGCGAGAGGTCGTACACCAGGCTGGGCGCCCTCCGTGCCCACGAGAAGACGCACACCAACGACGCGCCGCACGTGTGTTCAGAGTGCGGCGAGGTGTTCACTGAGCTGGACAGCCTGCGTCAGCACGAGAGGTCTCACAAGGAGCAGAAGCCACTGCTGTGTTCAGAGTGCGGCGAGGAGTTCACGGAGCTGGACAGCCTACGTCGGCACGAGAGCACTCACGAGGAGCAGAAGACAAAGTCATCAAACGTCGGGTGGCAGCGGCAGACGACGGGCGAAGACGGCGACAGCGGTAGATAGGCGCCCGCGTGGCGAGTCCCTGGCAACGTTGATTTCACGACCGCGTGGCCTGCGTATCACGCCGAGCGAGTTTAGGTTTTGCGGGCTATTTATTGTTCGCTACCCACCGTGCGGGGCCCATTTGAGCCGACCGAGCTCTTGCTCAAGGGTGACCGCGGGACGGGGGCTGCTAGAGCGGTGTAATGGTAGTAGTCGCAGGAGGATGATACAGAAAACGTGAAAACATTGGGTACCGAGAGTAGAGGAGATAAAACAGTTTGAACTCCTTACGTTGTTAGCCTGCGCATTTCTCACTTGCCCACCCGGCAGCATAACAAAAGGCGGCTTAATCCTCGCTCGCTTATTTACTTCCGCCATCTACATCACAAAGCCTCAGTCTCGGCTCCACCAGTTGCCTCCCAGTGCACCCTCGGTTTTGCAACTTCTCCTCCCAGCCCACACCCCGCCCCCACACTCACCATGGCCCCCCCCCACCTCCATAACCCGCGACTATATAATCCCTCGTCACAACCATCTCTGAGACGCACTTTAAGCGTTTGTGCTTTCGCTACGTTGTTCCCACCTGAAGAAGGACGCTTGTGTTGCGCCCGAAACGTCGTGATTTCATTTAGTTTTCATTTATTTTATTTCTTTTTTAACCTACGTTACTTTACCGAAAAAACCCAAGAGTAGGAAAAAAAACGATCTTCATTATAACCTTCAGCAGAGCAGCAGCAGCAGCTTCCAATTCGGACACGGCCACGTGCAGACCGCGAATCAAAATACGCGACAGCGCGCTGCCTCGGGGGGGGGAAAGCACGCGACACGTGGTGTGGGTGGAACGGTTTCGTGAGACACAGAAGAAGGGGTGGGTGGGGGGGGAGGATATCCGCCGGCTGGACTGGGACGTTGGGAGCGGACCACGGGAGGAGCGGGAAACCGTCCCTCCCTCCCTCTCTCTCTCCGCGTAGACCTGGACAGAGGCGGCGTGGTCCGGCGAGACGATCGGCCAGTTGGCGGACGGGGAGATGCACGTTGGGGATGGGCGGCGGGGCGCGGGGGGGTCCGTTAACCCCCTGCCCCCACCGCCCCACCTCTTCAGACCGCGTCGCCGCATTGAGGCTCCGGCCTGTGCTTATTTTCCCGGTTGGCGGCGGCGGCGGCAGCGGCAGCGTTCTCGCTCTGTCAGGGGAAACGCTTTGCTCGGAGAGCGACGCCGGACACGGCGGCCGTGTTTTTGTTTGTTGTGTGGACAGTAAAGAGCGACCGTTGCTTTTTCGTCTGTGAGCCGACGTCCGGCGCGGACCTCGAGGGCAGCCGAAATTACCGCCGCGCTTGCCCACGCGGCAGCGGCTTCGTTCATCCGCCCTTGATGGACGAATCCGTCTGGGGGGAATCGCTGAGCTCGGCTCGTCGTAATTCCGCAGTGCCTCAAATTGTTGGCAGAAGTAGCCACTCCTTGTGAGTGGTTGCCGGAGGTGCAATCTGTGGGGGAAGTTACCAGGGGCGACCCGGAGTCTTGAGACCAAGAAAGGCGCCGGGGGGGCAGAGACGATCTCCCAAGCGAGGGAGGGTGGCGTCTGTGCACAGACTGCCCTACATGACATCATCGCAGCTGTCTGGACCACGGGACGGGTTCCGCAGTATTGGAAGGGTGCCCCGGTGGTCCCCCTCTTTAAGAAGGATGGCTGCACAGACTGTAACAACTACAGGGGCATCTCCTTCCTCAGTGTGTCGGGAAAATCTCCTTCCTCAGTGTGTCGGGAAAAGATTATTCAACATCGCCTTGCCAGGTACACTGAGGAGAAGCTTGCGGAGTCCCAGTGTTGTATGAGACCAGGGAGGCCCTGCACGGATGCAATATTCTCTGTCCGTCCGCTACAGCAGAGGTGCAGGGGATGCCAACAGGACCTACATATCTACTGTAATGGTCTGGTCAAAGCCTATGATACCATCAATAGGCCAGGGTTCTGGGTTGTTCTTCGTGCTTTCGGAGTCCCTGACTCTGCTCACGATCATTAAGAACCTTCATTATGGTTGGCGGGCCTGGGTTAAGCTTTCGGGGTCAGGAGTCAGAGCCATTCCCTGTTCACCTTGGGGTGCGACAGGGATGTCCTCTGGCTCCCACATCATTTAACATCTATTTTGACCACGTAGTTCGTGAAGCCTTCCATAGCTGTACCGGGGGAATCTCCATTTGGTACAGATATAATGGGATGGCTGATCGATGCCCGGGTGCGGTCAAGAGATGGCTCCTTATTGGTCAACCATGTTACTTATGCCGATGATCTGGTGATTGCTGCTCACTCAGAGGAGGCATTGGAGGCGCTGCTGCTAGACCTGGAGCTTGCCACTAAGAAGTGGGGTCTTACCGCCAACCCCACCAAAACTAAGCAGTTAACTGGGTATTTTATGCCATCAAACACACCACCGCCTCAATTTCTCATTGGCGATGGAGCAGTTGTGAAGAGAGTGGAGAGTTTTCCACATCTGGTCAGTGCGTTTATGACCGGCTCTGGTTTGACAGCACAACTCTCACTCCGAATCAGTCGTGCAGCATCTTTTCATCGGATGCGTTACGCTGCTGCATGGAAGCTATCTGGTCTGTCGCTCCGCACGACGCTTCAGGTCTTCTCGGCCATGGTCATGCCCTCCTTTATGCTTGTGAAATGTGGACCCCTCTAATGGTGTGTCTGCGCCGGTTAGAAATATTCGGGCTGGCCTGCCTACTATCCTGGGTTTAACCAGGCTGGATTGTGTGAGAAGCTCACAGATCCTTGAAAGATCTGGACATATGAAGCAATTGGCGGGACCCCGGGGTCCCATCACTGCCCCCGGGGTGGGAAAATCCGCGTAGCGACACGAGTCTTGTCGCCTTACCGACAACAACAAAACTAGCGTCAATCGATTGGCCTCGTCGAGAGCTACTCGGGGTACTAAGTTTCGTAAAAAGTTGAAAAATTACATAAACGTTAAATTCACTGCCGCGGGGGCGGCGGGCTCGCCTTGGCAAAGAAGCCGAGGCTCGACGGCTGACCGGAGGGCGTCGTCGCCGCGCGCGACCGCGGCGGACGCCCCCCCGGGCCTCGCGTTTGGCCGGTGGGGTGGCGCCCATCGTGTTGATCGCCGCCTGCTGCTGCTGGCGCTTGTTGGCGCGAGTCTGGGCGGGCGACGCGTTGCTGTCGGGATCGCGGGTGGGCAGACTGAAAAATCATTATTATTGACCTGATTTTTGCGGGACCCCGGGGTCCCGCCAAATGATTCATTCCCATCGGTGAGCTCCGGTGGGAAAGGCCGCGTTGGCTGGGTCATGTAGCCCGCATGCCCAGCCACCCCATGCCCAAGCAGCTTCTGTTTGGCCGGATAGATGCGGCTAAACCGGCACGACACGGGCTGGAAAAAAGATGGACTGATGCGGTATGGGTGGACCTGAGTGGACTTGTCGACGACTGGTATCAGTGGTTTCATGATCAGCCTCAATGGAGAGGGCTCGTGAAGGACACTACTGGGTAGTTGGAGACAGCCACCCTCCCAACAACAATGGAGGACAGAGGAGCGACGCTCACAACAACGAGCGGAGCGCCGGGTGGCGAAAGCATAGCAGGTTGCCAGTCATCTCAGTCAACCCATGGCACCACCTAGGCCTGTCCCGTGACCTCCTGTACCTAGCCTGGCACAGCATTCAACCCATGGCACCTGCTGGGTCTGTCCTGTGACCTCCTGCACCTAGCCTGGCACAGCAGTCAACCCATGGCACCTGCTGGGTCTGTCCCGTGACCTCCTGCACCTAGCCTGGCACAGCAGTCAACCCATATCACCTGCTGGGTCTGTGCCGTGACCTCTTCCTCCTGCACCTAGCCTGGCACAGCAGTCAACCCATGGCACCTGCTGGGTCTGTCCCGTGACCTTTCAGGGAGCCTTCGACACTTCACGTGGCGGCCTCAAAGTGCACCTGGCCTGGCACTGGCGCCGTGGTGACGTCACCGCCACTTGGTGGCGAATGGCGACATCAGCGAGGTAAGCGACACCAAAAACAAAGGGATTTTGTTTTCAATTCACGTCCCTTTGTTAATTTATGTTGCTACCGTGGCAGTGTTTACGGCAGCATTGCGTGCAAATGTACAATCTTTATTATTTATGCTCATCATGAGGTTTTAAGACGATGCTTCCGGTTTTTTTTGTTGTTGTTGAACCGCGACATTCTGACCGTATGGGCATTTAAATACAGCACCTGAATCATTCTTTAGAAGCGGTTGTTGTGTTTCGTTTGCATCGCTCTCAACCTCCTTATCAGTGCCACCTAACTTATTACAGGCCAATTCCGACCTTGTCGGTCACCCCGTGCCCCTTATAAATCTCAACGATTATCCTATACACTACACACTACACTATACACTACTATACACTACACTATACACTACTATACACTACACTATACACTACTATACACTATACTATACACTACACTATACACTACTATACACTACACTATACAATACACTATACACTACACACTACTATACACTACACTATACACTACTATACATTACACTATACAGGACTATACATAACACTTTACACTAATATACACTACTATAAACTACACTATACACTATCATACACTACACTATACACTACTATACACTATACTACAAACCTGTCAACCCCTTATCAGTGCCCTACCTTATTACAGACCAATTCAGACCTCATTGGTCACCCCGTGCCCCTTATAAATCTCAACGTTCACCCTACAAAGTCTTCACCATCACGAGGGAGAAACAAACGGATTGGCAATTTAAAAAATTTGCCCACATTGAAACAGCTGTACGCGATATGGTGGCGGTGGGCGGAGTTGGAGTGGAAGGGGAGGCGGAGTTGGAGTGGAAGGGGGCGGGGTTGGAATGGCGGAGGGCGGGGTTTAAGTGGCGGGGATTGAGGTTGAAGTGACGGTGGGCGGGGTTGGAGTGACGGGGTTGGAGTGACGGAGGGCGGGGTTGAAGTGACGGGGGGCGGGGTTGGAGTGACGGAGGGCGGGGTTGAAGTGACGGAGGGCGGGGTTGACGTGACGGTGGGCGGGGTTAAAGTGGCGCGCGGCGGGGGAGGGGCGTGGTCACCAGCGGACGTCACCCGCAGTGACCTCGAGCCACGCCCAATGTCACGTGCGCGCACTGTACAACAACACGTGTAGCACAGTCGCCGCTAACTATACGCTCCTAACACGCGCTCTCCGCGCCTGATGATGGTGGTGGTGATGATGGTGGCAGCGGCGGCTGCGATTTGAAGCGGTGGCCCACGGATTCGCCTTGACGCGCGTGAGTCTGCAGTTCGTCATTTTTGGTTTGTTGACATCGTAAGCGACCTCTGCTTATCCCCAAGCAATCTCGTTAAGCTCGTCGGCGTTGAGCTGACGTTGGCCCAACGTTGAGATAACGTTGCAACAGTGTTGTGCTAACGTCTCAATGTTGAGCTAACGTTGATGGAACGTTGGACCGACGTTGGCTCAACGTTGGTTCAACGTTGCGCCAACGTTCGCACAACATTTGTGCAAACGTTATCGCAAAGTTGGGCCAACGTAAGCTCAACGTTGAGACAACGTTAGCTCAATATTGGACCAACGTTACGCCAACGTTAGCTCAACGTAGCGCCAACGTTAGCTCAACGTTGCACAAACGTGCAACGCTGATGGTAGAAGAGAGAGAGAGTGGATCGCAGAACTGGGAGAGAGACGGGAGAGACGTGAGAGATAAATAGAGGATCGCAGAACTGGGAGAGAGACGGGAGAGACGTGAGAGATAAATAGAGGATCGCAGAACTGGGAGAGAGACGGGAGAGACGGGAGAGATAAATAGAGGATCGCAGAACTGGGAGAGAGACGGGAGAGATACATAGAGGATCACAGAACTGGGAGAGAGACGGGAGAGATAAAGAGGGGATCGCAGAACTGGGAGAGAGACGGGAGAGATAAATAGAGGATCACAGAACTGGGAGAGAGACGGGAGAGATAATGAGGGGATCGCAGAACTGGGAGAGAGACGGGAGAGATAAATAGAGGATCGCAGAACTGGGAGAGAGAGATAGAGACGGGAGAGATAAAGAGAGGATCGCAGAACTGGGAGAGAGACGGGAGAGTTGGGAGTGCAGCCGTTACCCAGCAGCGGATCGACCCTGGCTCATGGATGGTGATGATGATGATGGCGATGATGATGGCGATGATGATGATGGAGATGATGAATGATGATGGAGATGATGGCGATGATGGTGATGGCGATGATGGCGATGATGAACGATGATGGAGATGATGATTGATGATGGTGATGATGATGATGGCGATAATGATGATGATGGCGATGATGATGATGATGGCGATGATGATGATGGCGGCGATGATTGATGATGATGGCGGCGATGATGATGGTGGCGATGATGATGGCGATGATGATTGATGATGATGATGGTGATGATGATGATGGCGATGATGGCGATGATGGCGATGATGATTGATGATGATGGTGATGATGGTGATGCGAGAGATCTCACTTGCAAGAGCGGGCCCCCCAAATCACTGTTAATAGGTTGTTGAGATCACGACAGAAGCAGCGGCAAGAAGCAAGCGGCATGAAGCATGAAGCAAAAAGCAGCGGCAAGAAGCATGAAGCAAGTGGCAAGAAGCAGCAAGAAGCAAGCGGCATGAAGCAAGAAGCAGCGGCAAGAAGCAGCAACAAGAAGCATGAAGCAGCAGCAATAAGCAGCGGCAAGAAGCAGCGGCAAGAAGCAGCAAGACGCAGCAGCGGTAAGAAGCAGCAACAAGAAGCAAGCGGCAAGAAGCAGCAAGAAGCAGCAGCGGCAAGAAGCAGCAACAAGAAGCAGCAGCGTGAAGCAGCAAGAAGCAGCGGCAAGAAGCAGCAACAAGAAGCAGCAACAAGAAGCAAGCGGCAAGAAGCAGCGGCAAGAAGCAGCGGCAAGAAGCAGCAGCAAGAAGCAGCAAGAAGCAGCAGCAAGAAGCAGCAGCAGTAAGAAGCAGCGGCATGAAGCAAGCGGCAAGAAGCAGCAGCAAGAAGCAGCAGCATGAAGCATGAAGCAGCAACAAGAAGCATGAAGCAGCAACAAGAAGCATGAAGCAGCAGCATGAAGCATGAAGCAGCGGCATGAAGCATGAAGCAAGCGACGCTCCCTGCGGCGAGTTTGGCGTCTCCGATTGGCGCCGTTGGCCGCGTGCGGTGCGAAAGTCGTTCGCCGTGAAGTGACGCTCACATGTGACCCCCCCCCCCTCTCTCTCCCTGCCCCCCTCTCTCCCTGCCCCCCCTCTCTCCCTGCCCCCCCTCTCTCCCCCTCTACACCTCCCCCCCCCCAGTCTCCAACAATGTTCGTCGCGCTCAGGCCGAAGGCCGCCCTCGGCCACGCGGCGAGCCACCTCGGCCACGCGGCGGCGGCGACGGCGGCGACGGCGGCAGCGGCGGCTTGGAGGAAGCCGCGGCTCGCGCTCGCCTCGCTGGCCGCGGTCCTCGCCCTGCCGCCCGCCCGCCAGGAGGGGATCCTCCGGCCGCTCGCCGCGGTCGCCCGCGCCGGCGGGCGATGGGACGGGGGGGAGGAGGAGGCGGTGGAGGAGGCGGTCGCGGCGGGGGCTGCTGCGGTGGGTGGGCCCGTGGAGGAGGTGGTGGTATAGTGTAGTGTGTATATATATAGTGTGTGTAGTGTAGTGGTATAGTGTATATATATATAGTGTGTGTGTAGTGTGGTGTGTATATAGTGTAGTGGTATAGTTTAGTGTATATATATAGTGTGTGTGTAGTGTGGTGTGTATATAGTGTAGTGGTATAGTGTAGTGTATATATATATAGTGTGTGTGTAGTGTGGTGTGTATATAGTGTAGTGGTATAGTGTAGTGGTAAAGTGTAGTGGTGTAGTGTAGTGTATATATATAGTGTGTGTAGTGTGGTGTGTATATAGTGTAGTGGTGTAGTGTATTTTGTACCAACGGACACTCCACCCCCACAACTCCCAATCGGTGATGGGACAGTTGTGGAGAGAGTGGAGAGTTTCCCATACCTGGGCAGTGTGCTTATGGCTGGCTCCAGTTTAACAGCAGAGGTCTCACTCCGAATCAGTCGAGCGGCAATATCTTTCCATCGGTTGCGTAACGATGTGTGGAAGCTACCTGGTCTGTCGCTCCGCACTAAGCGTCAAGTCTTCTCAGCCACGGTCATTCCCTCCCTTCTCTACGCTTGCGAAACGTGGACCCCCCTAATGGAGCATCTTCGCCGGTTGGAAACATTTAGGCTGGCCTGCCTACAATCCATCCTGGGTTTAACCAGGCTGGATTGTGTGAGGAGCTCACAAATCCTTGAACGATTGGGGCAAAGTCCCATCGGTGAGCACCTCCGGCAGGCAAGGCTGCGTTGGCTGGGTCATGTAGCCCGCATGCCCAGCCACCGCTTGCCGAAACAGCTTTTGTTCGGCCGGATCGAGGGGGCTAGACGGGCGCGGCACGGGCTAGAGAAGAGATGGAGTGATGTGGTACAGGAGGACGTGGAGCTGAGTGGACTTGCCGATGACTGGTACCAGCGGTGTCAAGATCGGCCTCTGTGGAGGAGGCTCGTGAAGGACGCTATTGGGCAGTTGGAGGCAGTCGCCCTTCAACAACAACGGAGGGCGGAGGAGCAACGCTCACAACAACGAGCGGAGCGCCGGGTGGCTAAAGCACAGCAGGTTGGCACAGTAGGGGGCACAGGTGGTGCATCAGCCAGTCATCTCAGTCAGTCGACCCGTGGCACCTGGGTCTGCCCCGTGACCTATCAGCGGGCGTTCGACACTTCACGTGGCCTCAAGGTGCACATGGCCTGGCACAAGCGTCGTGGTGACGTCACCGCCACTTAGTGGCGAATGGCGATTGTTGTGTATAGTGTAGTGATATAGTGTAGTGGTGTGGTATAGTGTATATATAGTGTAGTGGTGTGTGTGTATAGTGTGTAGTGTGTGGTATAGTGTAGTGGTGTGGTGTGTATATAGTGTGTAATGTGCGTACTGTGTGTGTAAGTAATGTGTGTAGTGTGTGTGTATGTCAGTGATGTGTGTAGTGTATGTAAGTGATGTGTGTAGTGTGTGTATGTGATGTGTGTAATGTGTGTAATGTAAGTGATGTGTGTAGTGTGTGTAATGTAAGTGATGTGTGTAGTGTGTGTAAGTGATGTGTGTAGTGTGTGTAGTGTGTGTGTAATGTAAGTGATGTGTGTAGTGTGTGTATGTGATGTGTGTATTGTGTGTATGTGATGTGAGTAATGTAAGTGATGTGTGTCGTGTTTGTACAGTGAGGGAAAAAAGTATTTGATCCCCTGCTGATTTTGTACGTTTGCCCACTGACAAATAAATGATCAGTCTATAATTTTAATGGTAGGTTTATTTGAACAGTGAGAGACAGAATAACAACTACAAAATCCAGAAAAACGCATGTCAAAAATGTAATAAATTGATTTGCATTTTAATGAGGGAAATAAGAATTTGACCCCCTCTCAATCAGAAGGATTTCTGGCTCCCAGGTGTCTTTTATACAGGTAACGAGCTGAGATTAGGAGCACACTCTTAAAGGGAGTGCTCCTAATCTCAGCTTGTTACCTGTATAAAAGACACCTGTCCACAGAAGCAATCAATCAATCAGATTCCAAACTCTCCACCATGGCCAAGACCAAAGAGCTCTCCAAGGATGTCAGGGACAAGGTTGTAGATCTACACAAGGCTGGAATGGGCTACAAGACCATTGCCAAGCAGCTTGGTGAGAATGTGACAACAGTTGGTGAGATTAATCGCAAATGGAAGAAACACAAAAGAACTGTCAATCTCCCTCGGCCTGGGGCTCCATGCAAGATCTCACCTCGTGGAGTTGCAATGATCATGAGAACGGTGAGGAATCAGCCCAGAACTACACGGGAGATCTTGCAAATGATCTCAAGGCAGCTGGGACCATAGTCACCAAGAAAACAATTGGTAACACACTACGCCGTGAAGGACTGAAATCCTGCAGCGCCCGCAAGGTCCCCCTGCTCAAGAAAGCACATATACATGCCCGTCTGAAGTTTGCCAATTAACATCTGAATGATTCAGAGGACAACTGGGTGAAAGTGTTGTGGTCAGATGAGACCAAAATGGAGCTCTTTTGCATCAACTCAACTCGCAGTGTTTGGAGGAGGAGGAATGCTGCCTATTACCCCAAGAACACCATCCCCACCATCAAACATGAAGGTGGAAACATGCTTTGGGGGTGTTTTTCTGCTAAGGGGACAGGGCAACTTCACTGCATCAAAGGGACGATGGACGGGGCCATGTACCGTCAAATATTGGTTGAGAACCTCCTTCCCTCAGCCAGGGCATTGAAAATGGGTCGTGGATGGGTATTCCAGCATGACAATGACCCAAAACACACGGCCAAGGCAACAAAGGAGTGGATCAAGAAGAAGCACATTAAAGTCCTGGAGTGGCCTAGCCAGTTTCCAGACCTCAATCCCATACAAAATCTGTGGAGGGAGCTGAAGGTTCGAGTTGCCAAACGTCAGCCTCGAAACCTTAATGACTTGGAGAAGATCTGCAAAGAGGAGTGGAACAAAATCCCTCCTGAGATGTGTGCAAACCTGGTGGCCAACTACAAGAAACGTCTGACCTCTGTGATTGCCAACAAGGGTTTTGCCACCAAGTACTAAGTCATGTTTTGCAGAGGGGCCAAATACTTATTTCCCTCATTAAAATGCAAATCAATTTATAACATTTTTGACATGCGTTTTTCTGGATTTTGTTGTTGTTATTCTGTCTCTCTCTGTTGAAATAAACCTCCCATTAAAATTATAGACTGATCATTTCTTTGTCAGTGGGCAAACGCACAAAATCAGCAGAGGATCAAATAATGTTTTCCCTGTAAGTGGTGTGTGTAGTGTGTATGTAAATAATGTGTGTAAGTGATGTGTGTGATGTGTGTATGTAAGTAATGTGTGTAGTGTATGTACATGAATGTGTGTAGTATATGTACGTGATGTGTGTAGTGTGTGTAATGTAAGCGATGTGTGTAGTGTATGTATGTGATGTGTGTAGTGTGTGTATGTAAGTAATGTGTGTAGTGTGTAAGTAATGCGTGTAGTGTGTGTAATTAATGTGTGTATGTAAGTAATGTGTGTAGTGTGTGTAAGTAATGTGTGTGTATGTAAATGAAGTGTGTCGTGTGTGTATGTAAATGAAGTGTGTAATGTATGTGTATGTAAATGAAGTGTGTGTGTGTAAATGAAGTGTGTAATGTGTGTGTATGTAAATGAAGTGTGTAGTGTGTGTGTATGTAAATGAAGTTTGTAATGTGTGTGTATGTAAATGATGTATGTAATGTTTATGTAAATGAAGTGTGTAATGTGTGTGTGTATGTAAATGAAGTGTGTAATGTGTGTATGTAAATGAAGTGTGTAATGTATGTGTATGTAAATGAAGTGTGTCATGAGTGTGTATCTAAATGAAGTGTGTAATGTGTGTGTATCTAAATGAAGTGTGTAATGTGTGTGTGTGTCTGTGAACTTCTTTTGCACCGTACCTAGCCAACCGTGCTAATCGGAGGTGTGGACAAAAAAGGAAACACAAAAAGCAGTTCTGTAGGAACTAGTTATCAATGCAGTATAGTGTAGTGTATATTAGTGTAGTGTATAGTAGTGTACTGTATAGTGGTGTATAGTAGTGTAGTGTATAGTGTAGTGTATATTAGTGTAGTGTATAGTAGTGTACTGTATAGTGGTGTATAGTAGTGTAGTGTATAGTGTAGTGTATAGTAGTGTAGTGTATAGTAGTGTAGTGTATAGTAGTGTAGTGTATAGTGTAGTGCATAGTAGTGTAGTGTATAGTAGTGTCCTGTATAGTGGTGTATAGTAGTGTAGTGTATACTCGTGTAGTGTATAGTAGGATAGTGTCTACTCGTGTAGTGTATAGTGTAGTGTATAGTAGTATAGTGTATTCTCGTGTAGTATATAGTGTAGTGTATAGTAGTGTAGTGTATAGTAGTGTCCTGTATAGTGGTGTATAGTAGTGTAGTGTATACTCGTGTAGTGTATAGTAGGATAGTGTCTACTCGTGTAGTGTATAGTGTAGTGTATAGTAGTATAGTGTAGTGTGTAGTAGTGTAGTGTATAGTAGTGTAGTGTATAGTAGTGTCCTGTATAGTGGTGTATAGTAGTGTAGTGTATGGTGTATTGTTTTTTGGTGTAGTGTATAGTAGTTTAGTGTATAGTAGTGTAGCGTATGGTGTATTGTTTTGTGGTGTAGTGTATAGTGGTTTAGTGTCGTGTCTAGTAGTGTCGTGTGTAGTGCAGTGTGGTGTTCTTGACGTCTTGGTGCTGATGTTGAAGGACGGAGAGCCGAGCGGGCGAGGTGGACGAGGTGGTGGGACGACGATCTGGCAGGCGTTCCGCCCCGGCGTGGAGGAGCTGCGTGCGGCTGAGCGAGTCTTCACCGCAACGGAGCGCCACCGTGTGGCTTACGTCTCCTCGGCCGAGCGGATCGACCACGCTCCCCGGCTCGGGCTGCCCGAGGTGCCGGCACCGTGCGCACGACACGCGTGTACCGCACGACACGCGTGTACCGCACGACACGCGTGTACCCTGGTGCGTGCTGATTTGCCGTGGGTCTGTTCTGCAAGGTGCGTGCGGATTGGCCGTGAGTCTGTGCCGCTAGGTGCGTGCCGATTGGCTGTGGGCCTGTTCTGCTAGGTGCGTGCCGATTGGCCGTGAGTCTGTGCCGCTAGGTGCGTGCCGATTGACCGTGGGTCTGTGCCGCTAGGTGCGTGCCAATTGGCTGTGGGCCTATTCTGCTAGGTGCGTGCCGATTGGCCGTGAGTCTGTGCCGCTAGGTGCGTGCTGATTGGCCGTTGGTCTGTGCCGCTAGGTGTGCCTGATTGGGCGCAGCAACGTGGGGAAGTCTTCGCTGCTGCGTGCGCTGCTGTGCCTTGTGCCAGACATCGACATCCGCATCTCCAAAACACCGGTAGCACACACACACACAACAACAACCACCATTCGCCACTAAGTGGCGGTGACGTCACCACGACGCTTGTGCCAGGCCATGTGCACCCTGAGGCCACGTGAAGTGTCGAACGCCCGCTGGCAGGAGGTCATGGGGCAGACCCAGATGCCACGGGTCGACTGACTGAGATGACTGGCTGATGCACCACCTGTGCCCCCTACTGTGCCAACCTGCTGTGCTTTAGCCACCCGGCGCTCCGCTCGTTGTTCTGAGCGTCGCTCCTCCACCCTCCGTTGTTGTTGGAGTGCGACTGCCTCCAACTACCCAGTAGCGTCCTTCACGAGCCTCCTCCACAGAGGCCGATCTTGACAACGCTGGTACCAGTCATCGGCAAGTCCACTCAGCTCTACGTCCTCCTGTACCACATCACTCCATCTCTTCTCTAGCCTGTGCCGCGCCCGCCTAGCCCCCTCAATCCAGCTGAACAAAAGCTGTTTCGGCATGCAGTGGCTGGGCATGCGGGCTACATGACCCAGCCAACGCAGCCTTTCCTGCCGGAGGAGCTCACCGATGGGGCCTTGCCCAGATCTTTCAAATATTTGTGAGCTCCTCGCACAATCCAGCCTTGTTAAACCCAGGATGGATCGTAGGCAAGCCAGCCTAAATGTTTCTAACCGGCGAAGATGTTCCATTTGGGGGGTCTACGTTTTGCAAGCGTAGAGAAGGGAGGGAATGACCGTGGCCGAGAAGACCTGAAGCTTAGTGCGGAGCGAGAGAACAGGTAGCTTCCACACAGCGTTACGCAACCGATGAAAAGATATTGCCGCTCGACTGATTCGGAGTGAGACCTCTGCTGTTAAGCTGGAGCCAGTCATAAGCACACTGCCCAGGTATCGGAAACTCTCCACTCTCTCCACAACTGCCCCATCACCGATTGGGAGTTGTGGGGGTGGAGTGTCCGATGGTACAAAATACCCAGGCAGGTGCTTAGTTTTGGTGGGGCTGATGGTAAGACCCCATCTCTTAGTGGCACGCTCCAGTCTCAGCAGCAGCGTCTCCAACTCCTCCTCTGAATGAGCAGCTATTACCAAATCATCGGCATACATAACGTGGTTGAGCAATAGGGAGCCATCCCTTGACCACACCTGGGCATCGATCAGCCTCCCATTATATCTGTACCATATGGAGATTCCCCCGGTACAGCTATTCAAGGCTTCACGAACTACGTGATCAAAATAGATGTTAAATAATATGGGAGCCAGAGGACATCCCTGTCGCACCCCAAGGTGTACAGGGAATGGCTCTGACTCCCGGCCACGTAGTTTTACCCGGGCCCACTCACCATCATGAAGGTCCTTAATGATCATGAGCAGAGGGTCAGGTACTCCAAAAGCACGAAGAACAACCCAGAGCCCAGGCCTACTGATGGTATCATAGGCCTTGACCAGGTCAATAAAGCAGAGATGTAGGTCTTGCTGGAATTTTCTACACCTTTGCTGTAGCAGACGGACAGAAAATATGGCATCTGTGCAGGACCGCCCTTTCCTAAAACCGCATTGGGGCTCCGCAAGCCTCTCCTCAGCGTGCCTGGCAAGGCGATGTTGAATAATCCTTGCCAGGACCTTTCCTGGCACACTGAGGAGTGAGATGCCCCTGTAGTTGTTACAGTCTGTGCGGTCCCCCTTCTTAAAGAGGGGGACCACCAGGGCATCCTTCCAATCCTGCGGAACCCGTCCAGTGGTCCAGACTGTTGTTATGATGTCATATAGGGCAGTCTGTGCACAAACGCCACCCTCCCTCAGCATTTCACTTGGGAGATCATCTCTGCCCGCCCACTCACAGGGGGTGACTTCTTCCAATATTTGAGGCACCGCAGCCTCAGCAGGGTCATCCTCACTTTGTGCCATGATGTTTTCCTGGCTGAGGGATTTTCCCTCCCCCAGGACCTCACAGAAATGCTCAGCAAATCTGCAAACATGTTCCTGGGGGTCGGAGATTGGATCACCGTTTTTTTCCCCTAATGATGGTAATAGGTGTGGCGCTGCAGGTTACTTTTTTGATGGAGTTAAATAGAGATTTGTGATCGTGGGCCACTGAGGCAGACTCCATCTCCTCAGCAACCCGCGACCACCACCCATCCTTGCAGCGCCTCACGGCTCTCCGAACCTCCGAGCGAAGGCTGCTGTAAGCCTCCTCATTCTCTGACGTGGGATTCTGTAACTGATGACAGTGGGCCTGTCGCTTTTTCTCAACTATCCTGAACACCTCCTCTGTCAGTCAGGATCTCTGGGGAGGTCTGGACTGCGTACCCAAAGCAGCCAATGCAGGTGCATGAGTCACAGCCCTAAACCTCGCCCATTTACCCTCGACATCAGGAGGAGTGGGGGACGATGCCAACCCCAGCCGCAGGCGATGACGAAATTCTCGCTTGCAACTTTCATCAGATGACTGAGAGCAGGCCACTTTAGGTTGGAATGGGGTCCTTGGTGTACACCCACCACCGGAGCGGAAGAATGGCAGGCGCATCTTACAGATAACTAGTCGATGGTCAGAGGGCAGATCAGCTCCACGGTAGGTCCTGGTGTCAAGGACATGGGCTCGCACCAACACACATACACACCCACACACATACACAAAGCAAAACAAAGATCCCCCATATAGCCTTAACAGACTGTAGGGGCAAGTGCTGTTAGCGAGCACCTATGAAGGCCGGAACGGTACACGAGGGGGTGGGTGGCCAGCACCACGCCCGACCGCCTTTGTCTCCCTAGTGGCAATGTTTACACACTGCACCAGGTACTCATTTGAGGCTGAGTCGACCTAGGGGAGGCCCGGGACCGGTTCAGATAATCGTCACTGGTGTTGGCCGTGAGCGGGAATCGAACCCGGGTAGCTAGGTCCATAGCGCAGTGCGCTAACCGCTACACTACCGCTCCCCACATACGCACCCACGCACTCACACACATCCTGGGGTGTGGTTGGGTGGGTGGGCAGGCTGGGGTGGGGGGGTTGGTGGGCAGGCTGAGGGGGGGTGTGGGTGGGCGAACTGAGGTGGTGTTGGTGGGTGGTGTTGTTGGTGGGTGGTGTTGTTGGTGGGTGGTGTTCGTGGGGTGGATCTTCGTCTTTCGCTGCTCCCTGGTGGCGTGCAGGGCCACACCCGCAAGCTCCACTTCTACCGCGTGGGCCAGGCCCTCACACTGCTGGACGCCCCGGGCTACGGCTACCGCGCGCCAGCGGACTACATTCCCATGGTGAAGGGATACCTGGCCCAGAGTCCCGAGTGAGTGAATGATTCCGTTGTTTCAAATCTTTCTACGTATTACGAGCTTTACTACTCGCCCGAGACTTGGATTCTCGTCTTGGAATAATACACGTCTTACGCGGAGGGTTGGGGGGGGGATGCGTGACGTCAGCAGGCACACTGCGTGACGCTGCTGCATGCGGGTGACATCACAGATGTGACGTCACCGCTCACTTGCCGTGAAAAATATATCCATTATTTCGCCCCTCCCCCCCCCAAATAGAAAAGTCTATTTTTATACTTTTTACATTGTGTACAGTCTGGAAACTACCCACATGCCAAATTTCAAGTTTGTTGCATGTCGGGAAGTATGCTAAACATTTCGAACAGACACACATATTCACAAATTTCCCTTTTTTATATATAGAAGATTTCTTTTTTTCTAATCGTATTTTTTAAATTATCCCCGATTGACGGCTCGCCTTCCACGTACGGATATTCACGCGGGGACTTCCTCTACCTTACGAATGACTCGGGGTTCCAGAGGCGGCTGCTGCGTTTGCGAGTCGATTTTGTCCGTAAATGTCCCGACGTTGCTCCCCGTCGTTTCCAAATGTGTTGTACGGCGTGGACACTAAACACGGGGAATAGCTTTACAAGTTGTATCATCTCCTGCAGATGTAGATGCCACTGGTTCTTAATGTTCTGCAGATGTAGATGCCACTGGTTCTTAATGTTCTGCAGATGTAGATGCCACTGGTTCTTAATGTTCTGCAGATGTAGATACCACTGGTTGTTAATGTTCTGCAGATGTAGATGCCACTGGTTCTTAATGTTCTGCAGATGTAGATGTCACTGGTTCTTCACGTTCTGCAGATGTAGATGCCACTGGTTCTTCACGTTTTGCAGATGTAGATGCCACTGGTTCTTCACGTTCTGTAGATGTAGATGCCACTGTTTCTTCACGTTCTGCAGATGTAGATGCCACTGGTTCTTCACGTTCTGTAGATGTAGATGCCACTGGTTCTTCACGTTCTGTAGATGTAGATGCCACTGGCTCTTAATGTTCTGTAGATGTAGATGCCACTGGTTCTTCACGTTCTGTAGATGTAGATGCCACTGGTTCTTCATCTCGTGTAGATGCCGCCGGTTCTTCACGTTCTGCAGATGTAGATGCCACTGGTTCATCACGTTCTGTAGATGTAGATGTCACTGGTTCTTCATCTTGTGTAGATGCCGCCGGTTCTTCACATTCTGCAGATGTAGATGCCGCCGGTTCTTCACGTTCTGCAGATGTAGATGCCACTTATTGTTCACGTTCTGTAGATGAAGATGCCACTGGTTCTTCACGTTCTGCAGATGTAGATGCCACTGGTTCTTCACATTCTGCAGATGTAGATGCCACTGGTTCTTCATGTTCTGTCGATGTAGATGCCACTGGTTCTTCACGTTCTGTAGATGTAGATGCCACTGGTTCTTCACGTTCTGTAGATGTAGATGCCACTGGTTCTTCACGTTCTGCAGATGTAGATGCCACTGGTTCTTCAAGTTCTGTAGATGTAGATGCCACTGTTTCTTCACGTTCTGCAGATGTAGATGCCACTGGTTCTTCACGTTCTGTAGATGTAGATGCCACTGGTTCTTCACGTTCTGTAGATGTAGATGCCACTGGTTCTTCACGTTCTGCAGATGTAGATGCCACTGGTTCATCACGTTCTGCAGATGTAGATGCCACTGGTTCTTCACGTTCTGTAGATGCCACTGGTTCTTCACGTTCTGCAGATGTAGATGCCACTGGTTCTTCACGTTCTGTAGATGTAGATGCCACTGGTTCTTCACGTTCTGTAGATGTAGATGCCACTGGGTCTTAATGTTCTGTAGATGTAGATGCCACTGCTTCTTCACGTTCTGTAGCTGTAGATGTCACTGGTTCTTCACGTTCTGTAGATGTAGATGCCACACTGGTTCTTCACGTTCTGCAGATGTAGATGCCACTGGTTCTTTATATCGTGTAGATGCTGCCGGTTCTTCATGTTCTGCAGATGTATATGCCACTGGTGCTTCACGTTCTGCAGATACAGATGCCACTTGTTCATCACGTTCTGTAGATATAGATGCCACTGGTTCTTCATGTTCTGTAGATGCCACTGGTTCTTCATCTCGTGTAGATGCCGGTTCTTCATCTCGTGTAGATGCCGCCGGTTCTTCACGTTCTGCAGATCTAGATGCCACTGGTTCTTCACGTTCTGTAGTTGTTGATGCCACTGATTCTTCACGTTCTGTAGATGTAGATGCCACTGGTTCTTCATGTTCTGCAGATGTAGATGCTACTGGTTCTTCACGTTCTGTAGATGTAGATGCCACTGGTTCTTCACGTTCTGCAGATGTAGATGCCACTGGTTCTTCACATTCTGCAGATGTAGATGCCACTGGTTCTTCACGTTCTGTAGATGTAGATGCCACTGGTTCTTCACGTTCTGTAGATGTAGATGCCACTGGTTCTTCACGTTCTGCAGATGTAGATGCCACTGGTTCGTCACGTTCTGCAGATGTAGATGCCACTTGTTCTTCACGTTCTGCAGATGTAGATGCCACTGGTTCTTCACATTCTGCAGATGTAGATGCCACAGGTTCTTCACGTTCTGTAGATGTAGATGCCACTGGTTCTTCACGTTCTGTAGATGTAGATGCCACTGGTTCTTCACGTTCTGCAGCTGTAGATGACACTGGTTCGTCACGTTCTGCAGATGTAGATGCCACTGGTTCTTCAAGTTCTGTAGATGTAGATGCCACTGGTTCTTCATGTTCTGCAGATGTAGATGCCACCACCGCCATCTATTGCACGGCGGTTGAACTTACGACTCTCGGTCCGAACAGGCAACTGGATATACGGACCAGGTTTGTTCGTATCTCTCCAAGTTCGTAAGTCGAATATTCGTGTGTACATCCACGGTGGCCTAGGAGATGTTGACTACCTCGCCTGGTATGCAGGAGGTCGTGGGTTCGATCCCGACGCTGACGCCTGCTGTGTATTTGGAGTCTGCGTCTTTCTCTCTCGCATCATCATCATCACGGTGGCTAGGAGATGTTAACTACCTCGCCTGGTATGCAGGAGGTCATAGATGCGATCCCGACCCTGATGTTGGCTGCTGCTGTATATTTGGAGTCTGTGTGTCTCTCTCTCTCTCATCATCATTACGGTGGCTAGGAGATGTTGACTCCCTCGCCTGTTATGCAGGTCGTAGATTCGATCCCGACCCTGATGTCTGCTGTTGCTGTATATTTGGAGTCTGTGTGTCTCTCTCTCTCTCTCATCATCACGGTGGCTAGGCGATGTTGACTACCTCGCCTGGTGTGTAAGAGGTCGTGGGTTCAATCCCGACCCTGACGATGCCTGCTACTGCATTGTTAGAAACCGGTGTCACGTGTTCGGAGCATGTGGCTGCTGCAAATAAATTTCCACGCGGTGACCTTGACGATGGTAGCAGCAAACTTCGTCGTGCCAACGTTGGCGATGGCCCGCTTCTGAACAGGAGCTGCCACATAGGTCGGTAGTGGGGCCTTGCCTAGTTTAATCCATGTGTAGTGGCCTTATTGACATCGGAGACTGTTCTTTGGAGGCAACACGTATTTATTACAGACACTTCAATTACAGTGGCGAATCTGATACTTGAAGAGGTAACGGCCTCTTCGCCCGTATTCTACAGAGGGAAACGTTCCCCGAGCCTTAGCCTACGCTAGTTCCCTGGTTCCCTCTATCCTGGTCCTCTCTCAGGAGGCTGTCTGACCTGGGCCCAGCTTCGGCGCAGGTCCCTATCACCAGCCCTACAAGTCCGGCCCTCAGAATGACATTGGCCCTCGCGGCTCTGGTGTCGCACCCTGGCTTGCTTTGCCCGGCCCTCAGAAGGGGCAGCGGGCCAAAGGAGTTCCAGGGTCTAGCTAGTCGATCTTTCTTCAACTGGCTCTTCATCTTGCTTGAGTCGAACTGAACTCTCGGCTCTCCGGGTCCCACCTTTTATACTGTCCCTCACTGAGGGGGCGGGGCTGGGAGGGATCACAGCGTCCCCCACAGCCCCCCAGGGTGGTGGCCGTAGCGGACGTGTTTGTGGCCACCGCCCTACAACCGCGTGTCACCCTGCCGTAACACCTCTGCACATGCGTGCACGTGGTTCCTCCTCCCGGTTGGCTCTGGTGGCGGTGCAGCCTCTGCCGCGTGGTGCTCCTGATGGACGGCGTGGCCGGGGTGCAGACCCTCGACCGCCAGACGCTGGCGTTGCTGGAGCAGCTGGACGTCGCCTACGCGGTACTCACCACCGCCAATACCACCACCACCACCACCAATACCGCTACCACCACCAATACCACCACCACCAATACCAATACTGCTACCACCACCACCAATATCGCTACCACCACCACCAATACCACCACCACCGCCAATACCACCACCACCAATACTGCTACCACCACCAATACTGCCACCACCGCCAATACCAATACTGCTACCACCACCACCAATACCGCCACCGCCAATACCACCACCGCCAATACCACCACCACCAATACCAATACCGCCACTACCGCGACTGCCGCTACCGCCACTATCGCTTCCACTACCACCAATACCGCTACCTCCACCGCCACCACCAATACTGCTACCACCATCACCAATACCGCTTCCGCCACCACCACCACTACCGCCAATACCGCCATTGCTACCGCCACCGTTACCGCTACCACCACCGCCAATACCGCCACTACCAAAGACAAAGATCCCCCGTATAGCCTGAAACAGACTGTTGGGGCAAGTGCTGTTAGCGAGCAGCACCTATGAAGGCTACCGGCACTGTGGCACACGAGGGGGTGGGCGGCCAGCACCACGCCCGGCCACCTTTGTCTCACCAGTGGCGATGTTTACTCCACTACACCGCACCAGGTGGTCATTTGAGGCTGAGTCGACCTAGGGGAGTCCCAGGACCGGTTCAGATAATCGTCACCGGTATTGGTGGCCGCGTGCGGGAATCGAACTCGGTTCGCCGAAGTTCATAGCGCTAACCACTACACTACCGCTCCCCACTACCACCACCACCTCCACCACCGCCACTAATACCATTACCACCACAACCACCGCCATAACGACCACTACCACCACCACCTCCACCGTTATGAGCGCCGCCACCGCCACCACAGCACGGAGTCACGAATCCGTAACTTGAACCCCCACTCCCCAACACCAATTCTGCACCGGCCGCCGCCTGTAGGTGGTGCTGACCAAGGTGGACCGTGCCAGCCGGCGCCAGCTGCTGCAGAACGTGCTGGCGGTGCAGAGGGCCATCGGTGGCAGTGGCGCGGCGTGCTACCCGCATGTGTTCCTCACCAGGTAGTAGTAGCAGCAGCATCATCCCTCCCCCCAGCGCACAGTGTGGTGTGCTGCCCCGTGTGTGTGTTACACAGCGGTGTGCTGCACCGTGTGTGTGTTACACAGCGGTGTGCTGCACCGTGTGTGTGTTACACAGCGGTGTGCTGCACCGTGTGTTACACAGTGGTGTGCTGCACCGTGTGTTACACAGCGGTGTGCTGCACCGTGTGTGAGTGTTACACAGCAGTGTGCTGCACCGTGTGTTACACAGCGGTGTGCTGCACCGTGTGTGTGTTAAACAGCGGTGTGCTGCACCGTGTGAGTGTTACACAGCGGTGTGCTGCACCGTGTGTGTGTTAAACAGCGGTGTGCTGCACCGTGTGTGTGTTACACAGCGGTGTGCTGCACCGTGTGTGTGTTACACAGCGGTGTGCTGCACCGTGTGTGTGTTACACAGCGGTGTGCTGCACCGTGTGAGTGTTACACAGTGGTGTGCTGCACCGTGTGTGAGTGTTACACAGCGGTGTGCTGCACCGTGTGTGTGTGTTACACAGCGGTGTGCTGCCCCGTGTGTGTGTGTTACACAGCGGTGTGCTGCACCGTGTCTGTGTTACACAGCGGTGTGCTGCACCGTGTGAGTGTTACACAGCGGTGTGCTGCACCGTGTGAGTGTTACACAGCGGTGTGCTGCCCCGTGTGAGTGTTACACAGCGGTGTGCTGCCCCGTGTGAGTGTTACACAGCGGTGTGCTGCCCCGTGTGTGTGTTACACAGCGGTGTGCTGCACCGTGTGTGTGTTAGACAGCGGTGTGCTGCACCGTGTGAGTGTTACACAGCGGTGTGCTGCACCGTGTGTGTGTGTTACACAGCGGTGTGCTGCCCCGTGTGTGTGTGTTACACAGCGGTGTGCTGCACCGTGTGTGTGTTACACAGCGGTGTGCTGTACCGTGTGTGTGTTACACAGTGGTGTGCTGCACCGTGTGTGAGTGTTACACAGCGGTGTGCTGTACCGTGTGTGTTACACAGTGGTGTGCTGCACCGTGTGTGTGTTACACAGCGGTGTGCTGCACCGTGTGTTACACAGCGGTGTGCTGCCCCGTGTGTGTGTTACACAGCGGTGTGCTGCACCGTGTGTGTGTTAGACAGCGGTGTGCTGCACCGTGTGTGTGTTAGACAGCGGTGTGCTGCACCGTGTGTGTGTTACACAGCGGTGTGCTGCACAGTGTGTGTGTTACACAGCGGTGTGCTGCACCGTGTGAGTGTTCCACAGCGGTGTGCTGCACCGTGTGAGTGTTACACAGCGGTGTGCTGCCCCGTGTGAGTGTTACACGGCGGTGTGCTGCCCCGTGTGAGTGTTACACAGCGGTGTGCTGCACCGTGTGTGTGTTACACAGCGGTGTGCTGCACCGTGTGTGTTACACAGTGGTGTGCTGCACCGTGTGTTACACAGCGGTGTGCTGCACCGTGTGTGAGTGTTACACAGCGGTGTGCTGCACCGTGTGAGTGTTACACAGCGGTGTGCTGCACCGTGTGTTACACAGCGGTGTGCTGCACCGTGTGTGTGTTACACAGCGGTGTGCTGCACCGTGTGTGTTACACAGTGGTGTGCTGCACCGTGTGTGTGTTACACAGCGGTGTGCTGCACCGTGTGTGTGTTACACGGCGGTGTGCTGCCCCGTGTGAGTGTTACACAGCGGTGTGCTGCACCGTGTGTGTGTTACACAGCGGTGTGCTGCACCGTGTGAGTGTTACACAGCGGTGTGCTGCACCGTGTGTGTGTTACACAGCGGTGTGCTGCACCGTGTGTGTGTTACACAGCGGTGTGCTGCACCGTGTGTGTGTGTTACACAGCGGTGTGCTGCACCGTGTGTGTGTTACACAGCGGTGTGCTGCCCCGTGTGTGTGTTACACAGCGGTGTGCTGCCCCGTGTGTGTGTTACACAGCGGTGTGCTGCACCGTGTCTGTGTTACACAGCGGTGTGCTGCACAGTGTGTGTGTTACACAGCGGTGTGCTGCACCGTGTGAGTGTTACACAGCGGTGTGCTGCACCGTGTGTGTGTTACACAGCGGTGTGCTGCACCGTGTGTGTTACACAGCGGTGTGCTGCACCGTGTGTGTGTTACACAGCGGTGTGCTGCACCGTGTGTGTGTTAGACAGCGGTGTGCTGCACCGTGTGTGTGTTACACAGCGGTGTGCTGCCCCGTGTGTGTGTGTTACACAGCGGTGTGCTGCACCGTGTGTGTGTTACACAGCGGTGTGCTGCACCGTGTGTGTGTTACACAGCGGTGTGCTGCACCGTGTGTGTGTTACACAGCGGTGTGCTGCACCGTGTGTGTGTGTTACACAGCGGTGTGCTGCACCGTGTGTGTGTTACACAGCGGTGTGCTGCACCGTGTGTGTGTTACACAGCGGTGTGCTGCACCGTGTGTGTGTGTGTCTGTGTGTGTGTATGTGTCTGTATGTGTGTCTGTGTGTGTGTGCAGAACTCTGAACTACCAGTATGACTACATGTTCTGTGTGTGTCTGTGTGTGTGTCTGTCTGTCTGTGTATGTGTGCCTGTGTGTCTGTGTGTGTCTGTGTGTGTGCTCGCTAACAGCACTTGCCCCTACAGTCTGTTAAGGCTATACGGGGGATCTTTATCTTTGTGTGTGTGTGTGTCTGTGTGTGCCTGTATGTATGTGTGTGTCTGTGTGTTCGTAGCGCCCGCTCGTTTGTGGGGGTCCACGTCCTGCGCTGCTTCCTCGCCCACGCCACAGGCAACGAGCCACGAGAGACGCCACGCCCCCTCTCCTCCTCCTTCCCATCCCCCCCTCCTCCTCCTGCACACCAGGCGAGGTAGTCAACATCTCATAGCCACCGTGATGATGATGAGAGAGACGGAGACTCCAAATCTACAGCAGCAGCAGGCGTCGTCAGGATCGGGATCGAACCCACGACCTCCTGCGTACCAGGCAAGGTAGTCAACATCTCATAGCCACCGTGATGATGATGATGAGAGACGCAGACTCCAAATCTACAGCAGCAGCAGGCGTCGTCAGGATCGGGATCGAACCCACGACCTCCTGCGTACCAGGCGAGGTAGTCAACACCGTGATGATGATGAGAGGAGGCGGCAATCCAGCAGTGGATCGAGCAAAGCTGCCGCCGCTGAAGGTGAACGGTGCTGACGACGTCCAGCAGCAAGGACGGCCGCTGACGCATCGTGTAAACAAAAAGACTTTTATTGATCATTGAATGTTGATCTTTTCATTTTCTCTCCTCCTTGGACGGAGAGGTCTCATCAATCTCCCTCCACCCCGGCCATGGTCGCGCAAACCATTTACTGATGGTGTTTAAAATATTGACGACTATGATCAATCTAAATTTTGATTTAAAGCTTTCTCGGTGCTTTCGGTATAGTCACCACGTAGAAGGGAAACAATAAAATAATAAAATAAAATATAAAACATTGTTTTATATTTTTATTGTTTCCCTTCTACGTGGTGACTTTACCGAAAGAACCAAGAATATGATCAATCCGTTCCTCATGAGGACTTGAACGATTGTGTGTTACGATGTTGACGACGATTTGGCGTTCACTCGTACAGACGTTGGCTCATTTTGTCGTCGTTTTACAATGGAGATTTTGTGTAAAAAAACTCGACGAAGGTGATTGTTGCGTTGTCCTCACATGGACTTCGTAACGATTGCGTGTCAAGATACTGCCGACGATTTGGCGTTGCCCGTAACGGGCGAGTTGAGATGACGATTTTTATATATATATATTTTTTTACAATTGAGATTGTGTTCGAATCTCGACGTCTGATCGCGCGCGTTCCTCGCAGGCCGTTGACGATTTTGTGTTAAAATATCGACGGCGATTATTGCATCGGCCCCGTGCGGAGGTTAACGATTTTGCGTTGAGATGTCGACTGCGACCGATTGTGTTTGCTCCTGAACGCAAGCGTCAACGTCCGGTGCGAGGCTAAGACGAGGTCGTTTGACCGTGGAGACTTTGCGTTAAGGTATTGGGGAGGGCCGATGGTTTAGCGGGTTCCCCACACGGATATTGGCGATTGCGTCAAGATGACAGCGGCCATCTTGTGTCAAAATCTCGGCGGCCCGCCGTTGCCATGCGTCACTGGGGCCGGCGGCACTGCCCCAAAGCCGTCACCCCTCTCACTCACTTACTCACTCACTCACTCACCTCTCACTCACCTCTCACTCACTTACTCACTCACCTCTCACTCACCTCTCACTCACTCACTCCCCTCTCACTCACCTCTCACTCCCCTCTCACTTACTCACTCACCTCTCACTCACTCACCTCTCACTCACTCACCTCTCACTCACTCACCTCTCACTCACTCACCTCTCACTCACTCACCTCTCACTCACTCACCTCTCACTCACTCACCTCTCACTCACTCACCTCTCACACTCACCTCTCACACTCACCTCTCACACTCACTTACACTCACTCACTCACTCCCCTCTCACTCACTCACCCCCTCTCACTCACTCACCCCCTCTCACTCACTCACCCCCCTCTCACTCACTCACCCCCCACTCACTCACCCCCCTCTCACTCACCCCCCTCTCACTCACTCACCCCCCTCTCACTCACCCCCCTCTCACTCACTCACTCACCCCCCTCTCACTCACTCACCCTCCCCTCTCACTCACTCACCCCCACTCACTCTCACCACCTCACCCCCTCTCGCTCACCCCTTGCGTCACCCCCTCACACCCCGTGGGTGCTGACTCAGCAGTCCCACAGCTCGTGCAGGAGGGGCGTGAGCTGGTGGTGAAACTTGCGCCTCCACGCTGCCAGCACCTCCTCGTGGTTGTGGTTGAGTGAGCGCAGCACGGTGAGTCGCGACACCAGGCGGGCAAAGCGACTGCCGCCACCGCCGCCGCCACCACCGTGCAGCAGCAGCAGCGCCACGATGGGTTCCAGCGCCCGCTCCACCCCGGCGTAGTCACGCACCCAGGGGCGGTCTGCGGGGAGTGAGGGTGGTGGTGAGCGTGTGGTGAGCGTGGTGGTGAGTAATGTGTGCTGGTGAGTGGTGGTGAGTGTGTGGTGAGCGTGGTGAGTGTGTGGTGAGTGAGTAGTGTGTGGTGGTGAGTGAGTAGTGTGTGCTGGTGAGTAGTGGTGAGTGAGTAGTGAGTGTGGTGAGCGTGGTGCTGGTGGTGGTGTGAGTAGTGATGGTGAGTGAGTAGAGTGAGTGTGTGGTGAGTGTGTGGTGAGTGTGTGGTGAGCGTGGTGGTGGTGTGAGTAGTGTGTGGTGAGCGTGGTGGTGGTGGCGGTGTGAGTAGTGTGGTGGTGAGTGGTGGTGAGTGAGTAGTGAGTGGTGGTGATGGCGGTGTAAGTAGTGAGTGGTGGTGAGTAGTGAGTGGCGGTGAGTGGTGGTGGTGAGCAGTAGGACGTCTCACCAGGGGACATGATGACGGCGGCGGTGAGCAAGGCGTACTCCGTCTCCGTCACGTCCAGCACCCCCATGCTGCGGAAGAAGTCGAACATCGGCTCGACACGCTCCGCATCGATGTCTGCACACAGAGACGCACACAGACACACAACATCGGCTCTATGTCTGTGTAGACATAGAGACAGACACACACTCTGCGTCCATGTCTGTGTGTAGATACAGACACGCACAGACACAACATCAGCTCCACGTGCTCCACATCGATGTCAACACAGAGACACAACATCGGCTCCACGTCTGTCTACACAGACACAGAGACACAATGTGCACTCCACGTGTCTACACAGACACAGCGTGGGCTCCACGCACTCCACGTCTGTCTACACAGACACAGAGACACAATGTGCACTCCACGTCTGTCTACACAGAGACAGACAGAACGTGGACTCCCCACACTCCACGTCTGTCTACACAGACACAGAGACACAATGTGCACTCCACGTCTGTCTACACAGAGACAGAACGTTGACTCCCCACACTCCACGTCTGTCTACACAGACACAGAGACACAATGTGCACTCCACGTCTGTCTACACAGAGACAGACAGAACGTTGACTCCCCACACTCCACGTCTGTCTACACAGACACAGAGACACAATGTGCACTCCACGTCTGTCTACACAGAGACACAGAACGTTGACTCCCCACACTCCACGTCTGTCTACACAGACACAGACACAATGTGCACTCCACGTCTGTCTACACAGACACAGCGTGGGCTCCACGCACTCCACGTCTGTCTACAGAGACACAGACAGAACGTGGACTCCACACACTCCACGTCTATCTACACAGAGACACAGACAGAACGTGGACTCCACACACTCCACAGAGACAGAACTGAGCTCCACCTACTCCACGTCTGTCTACACAAACACAGAACGATAAACATCACATTTGTTATCGTGTGACTGTGTAGTAATATCCCTTCTTTTTTCCCCATTAAAAATTATAGTCCCACGTACGTGTTAATGTTTTTTTGAAGCACACTACTAAACATTACACTGCTATGCACTACAGTATACACTACACTAACAGACACTGCACTACACTATACACTAAACTACATATTGCTGTTCACTACACCACTACACTATACACTAAACTACATATTGCTATACACTACACCACTACGCACTACACTATACACTAAACTACATATTGCTATACACTACACCACTACGCACTACACTATACACTAAACTACATATTGCTATACACTACACCACTACGCACTACACTATACACTAAACTACATATTGCTATACACTACACCACTACGCACTACACTATACACTAAACTACATATTGCTATACACTACACCACTACGCACTACACTGCCGAACATCTGTCCAGAAACCAACGAGGTTGGAGGTGCGGTGACGTGCTGACGGTGGTAGCGTGCTGTGGTGGTGTGCCGGTGGTGGCGTGCTGACGGTGGTAGAGTGCTGACTGTGGCGGTGTGCTGATGGTGGTGGTGTGCCGGTGGTGGTGTGCTGGTGGTAGCGTGTTAACGGTGGTAGCGTGCTGACGGTGGCGGTGTGCCGTGGTAGCGTGCTGACGGTGGCGGTGTGCCGTGGTAGCGTGCTGACGGTGGCGGTGTGCCGTGGTAGCGTTCCGCTACCGAATTTGGTGATGTTCTCGGGCAGGAAGGTGCGGGGGTCTGCGTGGGGCTGCTTCCCGTTGTAGAAGAGGGCCGAGCGGATCATCATGGCCTCGATAGCGGAGCCCTTGAGCAGCGCTATCTGGTCCTCCTCGTGCTGCTCCGCAAAGCCTGCACACCGCCGCCATCGCACGCGGACACGCACACAGACACACACGGAGACAAACACACGGGGACAGACACACACGGGGACACACGCACACGGGGACACACGCACACGGGGACACGCACACGGGGACACGCACACGGGGACACGCACACAGACACACACGGGGACACAGACACACACGGGGACACACGCACACGGGGACAGACACACACGGGGACACACGCACACAGACACACACGGGGACACAGACACACACGGGGACAGACACACGCACACACAGACACACGCACAGGGACACAGACACGCACAGGGACACACGCACGCACGCAGGCACAGACACACGGGGACGCACACAGACACACACACACGCACAGACACGCACGCAGACACACGCACAGACACGCACGCACAGACACGCACACACACACGGGGACGCACAGACACGCACAGACACACACACGCACAGACAAGCACGCACACTCACGGAGACACACACGGACACGGACACATGGTTACACACAGACAAAGATTCCACGTACAGCCGATGATGAAGTTAAGAACGACGATGACGACGACGTTGATGACGACGTTGATGACGATATCGACTAAGTTAAGAACGACGACGTTGACGACGTTGATGACGACGCTGATGATGATGTCAACTAAGTTAACGATGACGATGACAATGTTGATGACGTTGACGATGACGACGTTGATGACCACGTTGATGACATTGATGACGTCGACGCTGATGACGTTGACGACGATGTTGTCGACGCTGATGACGATGTTGATGAAGTTGATGAAGACATTAACACTGATGACGATGTTGATGACAACATTGATGATGACGATGTTGACGACACTTATGACGATGTTGATGAAGTTGATGAAGACATTAACACTGATGATGTTGATGACAACATTGATGACGATGTTGACGACACTTATGACGATGTTGATGACGTTGATAACGACATTGACACTGATGACAATGTTGATGACGACATTGATGATGTTGACAACGCTGATGACGTCATTGATGACGACATTGACGACGTCGATGACAACGTCATTGACGACGCTGTTGACGACGCTGATGACAACATTGATGACGATGTTGATGACGATGTTGACGACACTTATGACGATGTTGATGACGACATTGACACTGATGGCGATGTTGATGACGACATTGATGTTGACAACGCTGATGACGTAATTGATGACGACATTGACGACGTCGTTGACGACGTCGTTGACGACGTCGTTGACGACGTCGTTGACGACGTCGTTGACGACGTCGTTGACGACGTCGTTGACGACGCTGACCAAGTTAACGAGCGAGGGCCTCACCAGGGATGGTCTTGGCGAAGGAGACCAGCGCTCGCATGTGGTCCGTCATGATGTCCCTCATGCGCGCAAAGTTCTCGTGGCTGTCCGACGACATCACCGCCTCCGACATCTAAGCAGCGGCGACGCGGCGGAGCACGCACACACACAGCGTGGTGCAACACACACACACACAGCGTGGTGCAGCACACACACACAGCGTGGTGCAGCACACACACACAGCGTGGTGTAGCACACACACACACAGCGTGGTGCAGCACACACACACAGCGTGGTGTAACACACACACACAGCATGGTGCAACACACACACACACAGCGTGGTGCAGCACACACACACAGCGTGGTGCAGCACACACAGCGTGGTGCAACACACACAGCGTGGTGCAACACACACACACACACGGCGTGGTGTAGCACACACACACAGCGTGGTGTAACACACACACACACAGCATTGTGCAGCACACACACACACAGCGTGGTGCAGCACACACACACACGGTGCAGCACACACACAGCGTGGTGCAGCACACACACACAGCGTGGTGCAGCACACACACACACAGCGTGGTGCAGCACACACACACACAGCGTGGTGCAGCACACACACACACACACAGCGTGGTGTAGCACACACACACAGCGTGGTGTAGCACACACACACAGCGTGGTGCAGCACACACACACACACACAGCGTGGTGCAGCACACACACACACACAGCGTGGTGTAGCACATACACACAGCGTGGTGTAGCACACACACACAGCGTGGTGCAGCACACACACACACACACAGCGTGGTGCAGCACACACACACACACAGCGTGGTGCAGCACACACACACACGGCGTGGTGCAGCACAAGGAGAGAGCAAGCGAGCAAGGGGAGAGAGGGCGAGAGAGAGAGTGAGAGAGAGCGAGCGAGCGTCTGCGTGCCCGTACAAACTTGTGGATGGCCTCTGGCGCGATGGAGTACTTGCGATGCGCCGCCACGATCCTCTCCACCATCTGCCGCTGCTCCTGGGACAGTCCGTCCCCCCGGCTGCCCTCCGCCGCCGCCGCCTGCCGCCGCCGACGCACAAAGACAGAGAGGAAAAGGTCCCCCGTGCAGCCCACGCCGCGCCGGCGCCGGGCCCCCGGGCCACCAAGCAACGGTGACGTCACCGTTGCCTGGTGGCGAATGGCAGGAGCCGGCGTCGGCACCTGCCACGGTGAGCCGGCGTCGGCACCTGCCCGGGGGCCCGTCCCGAGACCTCCTGCCGGCGGAGCCTTCGACGCTCCACGCGGGAGCTTTCAGGGCGCACCTAGCCTGGCACCGGCGCCGCGGTGGCCGCCCTTTCAAACGAAACGGTGAACCACGCTCTGGTTCTGTCGGTAAAGCGGCAGTAGGAAGGGAAATGAATCGAACGCCAGCGTGCGACGGTCGTCTGCCGCGAACAAATCGACGAGAGGACAAGACGCAGTGAACTTGTGAGGTGGAGTGCGACGCGGCACAGGGAGGCGTCCTCATGCCGATGGCCAGCGTCGGCTCGGGTACTCACCGTCACCGACATTGGCCGTGAGAGAGAGAGACACCCCTCCCCCCACAGGACCAGGGCTCCAACACGGCCATCGTGAACCCGCCCGCCCACCACCACCACCGACACGGCCATTGTGAACCCCGCCCACCACCAACACGGCCATTGTGAACCCCCTGCCCACCACCACCGACACGGCCATTGTGAACCCACCCCCCCCACCGACACGGCCATTGTGAACCCGCCCCACTGACACGGCCATTGTGAACCCCCGCCCACCACCACCGACACGGCCATTGTGAAGCCCCCCAACGACACGGCCATTGTGAACCCCCCCCACCAACACGGCCATCGTGAACCCCCCGCCCACCACCACCGACACGGCCATTGTGAACCCGCCCCACTGACACGGCCATTGTGAACCCCCGCCCACCACCACCGACACGGCCATTGTGAACCCACCCCCCCCACCGACACGGCCATTGTGAACCCGCCCCACCGACACGGCCATTGTGAACCCCCCCCACCAACATGGCCATTGTCAACCCCCCCACCGACACGGCCATTGTGAACCCCCCCCACCAACACGGCCATTGTCAACCCCCCCACCGACAGGGCCATTGTGAACTCCCCCCACCGACACGGCCATTGTGAACCCCCCCCAACGACACGGCCATTGTCAACCCCCCCACCGACACGGCCAGTTGGATGAACTCACCGTGGGTGACCTCTTGGGGCAGTGCTTCCGCGCCCGCTTCGCTCGACTGCTGCTCACCTCCATCACCATGCCTGGGGGGTGTGGGGGGTGTGGGGGGGGTGGGGGGGTGGGGGGGGTGGGAAGGGGTGGGGGGTATGGGAGGGGTGATCGCACGTTATCCGCCGCTCATCCGCTCGCTCGCTCACTCATTCATTCACTCGCTCGACCATTCGCTCTTACGATCAACCGTTCGATCGACCAATCACTCATTCACTCACTCAACCGTTCAGCCGATAGACCATTCCCTCCCTCAACAATTCACTGAGCCATTCAAGCATTCACTGACTCTATCTTTCATTCACTCACTCAACCATTCCCTCGCTCAACAATTAACTCACCCAACTATTCACTCAATCACTCATTCAATCATTCACTCACTCAACCATTAACTCAACCACTCAACCTCAACCATTCCCTCCCCCCACTCAACAATTAACTCACCCAACTATTCACTCAATCACTCCACCAACCACTCATTCAATCATTCACTCGCTCAACAATTAACTCACCCAACCATTAACTCACCCAACCATTAACTCACTAAACCATTAACTCACTCAACCATTAACTCAACCACTCAACCATTCCCCCCCCCACTCAACAATTAACTCACCCAACTATTTACTCAATAACTCCACCAACCACTCATTCAATCATTCACTCGCTCAACAATTAACTCACTCAACCATTCACTCGCTCAACAATTAACTCACTCAACCATTAACTCAACCACTCAACCTCAACCATTCCCACCCCACACTCAACAATTAACTCGCCCAACTATTCACTCAATCACTCCACCAATCACTCATTCAATCATTCACTCGCTCAACAATTAACTCACTCAACAATTAACTCACTCAACCATTAACTCACTCAACCATTAACTCACTCACTCAACCATTCCCTCGCTCAACAATTAACTCACCCAACTATTCATTCAATCACTCCACCAATCACTCATTCAATCATTCACTCGCTCAACAATTAACTCACTCAACAATTAACTCACTCAACCATTAACTCACTCAACCATTAACTCACTCAACCATTAACTCACTCAACCACTCAACCTCAACCATTCCCCCCCCCCCCACTCAACAATTAACTCACCCAACTATTCACTCAATTACTCCACCAATCACTCATTCAATCATTCACTCGCTCAACAATTAACTCACTCAACCATTAACTCACTCAACCATTAACTCACTCAACCATTAACTCACCCAACCATTAACTCACTCACCCATTAACTCACTCAACCATTAACTCACTCACTCAACCATTCCCTCGCTCAGCAATTAACTCACCCAACTATTCACTCAATCACTCCACCAATCACTCATTCAATCATTCACTCGCTCAACAATTAACTCACTCAACCATTAACTCACTCAACCATTAACTCACTCAACCATTAACTCACTCAACAATTAACTCACTCAACCATTAACTCACTCAACCATTAACTCACTCAACCATTAACTCACTCAACCATTAACTCAACCACTCAACCATTCCCCTCCCACCCCCCCACTCAACAATTAACTCAACCAATCACTAGCCCGCCCGCCCGTGTCTCCAGCGCGCGTACCCTGCGCCTGCATGCCGGCCTGCAGGCACTTGCGGTAGCGGCACCCTTGGCATTGTCGCCGCATGTACGTGTCCATGTGGCAGCGCCCGCCCAGGCGACAGGCCTGCACCGTGGAGCGCACCATCGCCCGGCGGAAGAAGCCTGCGCACGGCCGACGGCGAAGATGTTCAAGCGCCAAACAGAAACCTTTCGCAAGGGGATCAAAGTTGCCGCATCAGCCACACGCACACGCGGCTCTGGTGACGATGTTACGCTGGCGTTGCCTTTGATTGGCCTACATCAGAGGCAGCAGCCTAGCTTAGGGCCTAGTCTCACGAGCAGTGTCAGAGCAGAGGACGAGGCCAGAAGGCGGACGGCACAAGGGCAAGGCACCGTCAGGGCAATCGCTGATTCTGTCGGTAAAGTCACGTAGCAAAAAAAAACAAATAATAATAGAATAAGGGGTACTATAGTACTGTGGGGTACTATAGTACTATAGTACTATGGGGTACTATGCCCTTGTACTATAGTACTATGGGGTACTATAGTACAAGGGCACGGAAGTGGCTATGTTAATGTCAGAGATTAGCATGATTTTAATGCGCGAAATCACCATATGGTAATGTGAGAGATTAGCATATGATGACGTGATATATTAGCATATGTTGATGTGGGATATTAACATATGCTAATGTCAGAGCTTTGCATGAAACAACAGCTGACATAGGCAGGAAGGATGGAAACATCACAGTCGGTTAAGACTTCACCTGCACTTAGGAGTTGCTCACCCCGAGCTAGCAATGCCCCCCGGTGGTGCCGTTCTCTTGTGCGGTGGTGTGGTGAGTGGCTGTGTATGAGTGGTGTGGTGAGTGGTGTGGTGAGTGGCTGTGTATGAGTGGTGTGGTGAGTGGCTGTGTATGAGGGGTGTGGTGAGTGGTGTGGTGAGTGGTTTGGTGAGTGGCTGTGCATGAGTGGTGTGGTGAGTGGCTGTGTATGAGTGGTGTGGTGAGTGGCTGTGTATGAGTGGTGTGGTGAGTGGTGTGGTGAGTGGTGTGGTGAGTGGTGTGGTGAGTGGCTGTGTATGAGTGGTGTGGTGAGTGGTGTGGTGAGTGGCTGTGTACGAGTGGTGTGGTGAGTGGTGTGGTGAGTGGCTGTGTATGAGTGGTGTGGTGAGTGGTGTAGTGAGTGGCTGTGTATGAGTGGTGTAGTGAGTGGTATGGTGAGTGGCTGTGTATGAGTGGTGTGGTGAGTGGTGTGGTGAGTGGCTGTGTATGAGTGGTGTGGTGAGTGGTGTGGTGAGTGGCTGTGTATGAGTGGTGTGGTGAGTGGCTGTGTATGAGTGGCTGTGTATGAGTGGTGTGGTGAGTGGTGTGGTGAGTGGCTGTGCATGAGTGGTCTGGTGAGTGGCTGTGAATGAGTGGTGTGGTGAGTGGTGTGGTGAGTGGTGTGGTGAGTGGTGTGGTGAGTGGCTGTGTATGAGTGGTGTGGTGAGTGGTGTGGTGAGTGGCTGTGTATGAGTGGTGTGGTGAGTGGTGTGGTGAGTGGCTGTGTATGAGTGGCTGTGTATGAGTGGTGTGGTGAGTGGTGTGGTGAGTGGCTGTGCATGAGTGGTGTGTTGAGTGGTGTGGTGAGTGGTGTGGTGAGTGGCTGTGCATGAGTGGTCTGGTGAGTGGCTGTGAATGAGTGGTCTGGTGAGTGGCTGTGTATGAGTGGTGTGATGAGTGGTGTGGTGAGTGGTGTGGTGAGTGGCTGTGTACGAGTGGTGTGGTGAGTGGTGTGGTGAGTGGCTGTGTATGAGTGGTGTGGTGAGTGTCTGTGTATGAGTGGTGTGATGAGTGGTGTGGTGAGTGGTGTGATGAGTGGCTGTGTATGAGTGGTATGGTGAGTGGCTGTGTATGAGTGGTGTGGTGAGTGGTGGTGAGCGGCGTGGTGAGTGGCGTGGTGAGCGGCGTGGTGAGTGATGGTGAGTGGCGTGGTGAGTGGCGTGGTGAGTGGTGGTGAGCGGCGTGGTGAGTGGTGGTGAGCGGCGTGGTGAGTGGTGGTGAGTGATGGTGAGCGGTGGTGAGTGGCGTAGTGAGTGGTGGTGAGTGGCGTGGTGAGTGGTGGTGAGTGATGGTGAGCGGTGGTGAGTGGTGGTGAGTGGCGTGGTGAGCGGCGTGGTGAGTGGTGGTGAGCGGTGTGGTGAGTGGTGGTGAGTGGCGGGGTGAGTGGTGGTGAGTGGCGTGGTGAGCGGCGGTGAGCGGCGTGGTGAGTGGTGGTGAGTGGCGTGGTGAGTGGTGGTGAGTGGCGTGGTGAGCGGCGTGGTGAGTGATGGTGAGTGGTGGTAAGTGGTGGTGAGCGGCGTGGTGAGTGGTGGTGAGTGGTGGTGAGCGGCACAGCGGCGCTCACCCTTGCACCCTTCGCACGTGAAGGCGTTGTAGTGGAAGCCCGTGGCGCGATCACCGCACACCACGCACAGCCCCGCGCCCTCCACCCGGGCCCCAGGCGACCCCGCCGAGCCCACGGCGCCTAGGAAACACGGCAGGCTTCACGGGTCGCGATAGGCCTCACAGCCAAATGCAAAGTTCCCCCGGGTAGCCCACGCGGGCTTTTTGGGGGCAAGTGCAGCCAGTAGGAGCAGCAGCTGTAGCTGTTGTTGTTGCTGCTGCTGCACCACGGCCATCGCCTTAAGCAACGCCCGTCCGTCTTTGTCTTCCCCGGCGCCGATGGTGAACGACGCGAATCGCGCCCAGGGCTGCGCGGGGCTGAGGCGGCCGGGGCGACCGACTCGGAAAGTAGAAAGCCGGGGAGAGTGCGGTGGTGGTGAAGGTGGTGGAGGTGGTGGTGGTGGTGGTGAAGGTGGTGGTGGTTGAGGTGGTGAAGGTGGTGGTGGTTGAGGTGGTGAAGGTGGTGGAGGTGGTGGCGGTGGTGGTGGTGGCGGTGCAGGTGGTGGCGGTGGAGGCGGTGGCGGTGGAGGCGGTGGTGGTAGTAGTGGTGGAGGTGGTGGTAGTAGTGGTGGTGGTGGAGGTGGTAGTAGTAGTGGTGGTGGAGGTGGTAGTAGTGGTGGTGGTGGAGGTGGTGACGGTGGCGGTGGTGGCGGCGGCGGTGGTGGTGACGGTGGAGGAGGTGGTGGTAGTAGTGGTGGTGGTGGAGGTGGTGGTGGTGGAGGTGGTGGTGGTGGAGGTGGTGGTGGTAGTAGTGGTGGTGGTGGAGGTGGTAGTAGTGGTGGTGGTGGAGGTGGTGGAGGTGGTAGTAGTGGTGGTGGAGGTGGTGGTGGTGGCGGCGGTGGTGACGGCGGTGGTGACGGAGGTGGTGGTGGCGGAGGCGGTGACGGCGGAGGTGGTGACGGTGGAGGTGGTGGTGGAGGAGGTGACGGTGGTGGTAGTAGTGGAGGTGGTGGAGGTGGTGACGGTGGTGGTGGTGGTGGAGGTCGAGGTGGTGGAGGTGGTGGAGGTGGTGGAGGTGGTGGTGGCGGAGGTGGTGGAGGTGGTGGAGGTGGTGGCGGAGGAGGTGGTGGTGGAGGTGGTGGTGGTGGTGGAGGTGGTGACGGTGGTGGTGACGGTGGTGGTGGTAGTGGTGGTGGTGGAGGTGGTGACGGTGGTGTTGGTGGTGGAGGTGGTGGAGGTGGTGGTGGTGGAGGTGGTGACGGTTGTGACGGTGGTGGTGACGGTGGTGGTGGTAGTGGTGGTGGTGAAGGTGGTGGTGGTGGAGGTGGTGACGGTGGTGGTGGAGGTGGTGGAGGTGGTGGTTGAGGTGGTGGAGGTGGTGGTGGTGGTGGCGGAGGTGGTGGTGGTGGAGGTGGTGGAGGTGGAGGCAGCGGCGGTGGTGGAGGTGGTGGTAGTGGTGGTGGTGGTAGTAATGGTAGTGGTGATAGTGGTGGTAGTGGTGGTGGTAGTGGTAGTAGTGGTAGTGGTGGTAGCGGTAGTGGTAGTAGTGGTAGTAGTAGTGGTGGTGGTGGTTTTCAGAGATGGAGACTGCACGCTGGGAGCAGTGATGTTGACATTTTACACTTCATATTCTTGGTTCTAATTGTTTCCCTTCTACGTGGTGGTGACTTTACCAAAAGAACCAAGAATGTGAATCCCTGCAGTCACGATAGCTTTAAATCTAATGTTTACACTTCGTTTCCTGAGTGGGCGGGGGTCAGTGGGAGGTGGGCGGGGTCAGTAGGAGGTAGGCGTGGTCACGGGGGTGGGCGGAATCAATATGGGTGGGCGGGGTCAGTGTGGGTCGGAGAGGTCAGTGGGGGTGTGGGTAGGCGGGGTTGGTGGTGGACGGGGGGTCGGTGTAGGGTGGGCGGGGTCAGTGTGGGTGGGCGTGGTCGATAGCGAGTCGACGTGGTCAGTAGCTTAGTGGGCGTGGTCAGCATCGATGGGCGGGGTCAGCAGTAGTGATTGACAGATCGCTAATCTCCCCCCCACCACCACCACCCGCCCCACCTGTCTGTGGGCTCCACTCCCCGCCGCCCTCCCTGAACCCCTCCTGGGCGGCCGATCCAGGCGAGCTCAGGCTTGAATCCGGGTCTCTCGCGTAGGCCCCGCACGTGGGGGCCGTCGTGAAGGCGAAGTTGGGGCCCTCGGGCTCCCTGCCGCAGGCGTCCATCGCGGCCTGCGCGAGGGGGTGGGGGTAGGGGAGGGGGGAGGAGGAGGGAGGGGGGGAGAAGGGAGGGGGAGTAGGAGGGTAAAGAGGAGGAGGGGGGGAAGAGGAGGGGGGGGAAGGAGGAGGGGGGGGAGGAGGAGGAAGAGGGGGGAGGAGGAGGGGAGGGGGAGGGAGGGGGAGAGGAGGAGGGGGGGGAGGAGGAGGGGAGGGAAAAGGAGGAGGGGGGAGGAAGAGGAGGAGGGGGGGGGGAAGAGGAGGAGGGGGGAGGAGGAGCGAGGGAGGAGGGAGGGAAAAGGAGGAGGGGAGGAGGAGGGGGGGAAGAGGAGGAGGGGGGGAGGAGGAGGGGGGGAGGAGGAGACGGCTCAGCGACTCCCATGCGGAATTTGACTTTTGAGCCCCTTTGGAACGCACTTTAATCTCTTTGTACTGCCACCACGGCCAACCCCGAGAGTGGGGCACGTGGGTGAAGGAGTGGCTGAGTGGGTGATGGAGTGCGTGAGTCGGTGATGGAGTGGTGAGTGGGTGAAGGAGTGGTGAGTGGGTGATGGAGTGGTGAATGGGTGAAGGAGTGGTGAGTGGGTGATGGAGTGGTGAGTGGGTGAAGGAGTGGCTGAGTGGGTGATGGAGTGCGTGAGTGGGTGATGGAGTGGCCGAGTGGGTGAAGGAGTGGCTGAGTGGGTGATGGAGTGCGTGAGTGGGTGATGGAATGGCTGAGTGGGTGATGGAGTGCGTGAGTGGGTGATGGAGTGGCTGAGTGGGTGATGGAGTGGTGAGTGGGTGATGGAGTGGGTGGGTGGGTGAGTGAGTTGGTGAAACAACCCGCTACCTCCTCGCGGTGCCGGACGGGCAACTCTGTCGTGGACAGTGCTGTGGGGGGAGGGCCAATTCCGATTGGTTCCTCCCCTCATGGCGTCTGTGTCCACCACAGTGGCTAAACGGGGGCTCTGGACGGGTGCGAGAGGCTGGTAACCCCTCCACCTTCAATTAATGACCACTAAACCACGAGGTAAACTGAAATATGTAACTAATAAGCTTGTGCCGGAGGCCCCGGGGGGGGCAGGCATCTATAACGTCTCCTGGTCAAACCATAATTGGCGGAGCCAGGAGATTGAATCTCTACCCTCGGGGCTCCTCCAGAAACAAGGAAAAGCCACTACGGATGGCCACGTGGAATATTCGAACGCTCACTGCGGAGGAGAGGCTGCCACTCCTCTGTCGGGAGCTGGACCGGTACCGCCTGGATCTCTGTGGTATTCAGGAGGTCCGGTGGACCGGTTCTGGCTCCTGCCACCATGAGGGGTGGACAGTCCTCTACTCGGGGCAGCAGACTGCCAAACAACAGGGTGTGGCTCTTCTTTTGAACAAAAGAATGAAGGGGGCGTGGGAGCGTGGCGGTGAGGTGTGGGAAGCTGTAAGCCCCAGGCTACTTTGGGCTCGCCTTCCCAACAACCGAAGGCGAGGAGTGGTGGTCGTGGTTACTTATGCCCCCACCGAAGACGAACATCCGTGGAGGGATGCATGCAAAGCCGATGAGTCAGATGCCTTCTATGACCTCCTGTCACAGGTGCTGGCTAAAGTGGCACCTCGGGATAGAGTCATCATGTTGGGTGACTTCAATGCCCGAGTTGGTCATGATGCTGGCACCTGGTCTGGAGTGATTGGAGGGCGTGGGCCAGATCAGCTCAATAACAACGGTAGGAGGCTGCTAGATTTTTGTGCAGCCCATGGGCTTGTAATTACCAACACGCTGTTCCGGCATCGGCGCATCCACACAACATCATGGATGCATGCCGGGTCCAAGCAAGAACATCTGCTGGACTACATAGTGACGGACCAGCGGATGCGAGCCCATGTCCTTGATACACTACAATATATACTACACTACTATACACTACACTATACACTACACTATACACTACTATACACTACACTATACACTACTATAAACTACACTATACACTACACTAGACACATCGTCACAAATGTCTGACCCCCCCCCCCAACCTATGTGCGTGACGTCATGTATGGACGGCCCCTATCATCATCACCACCGTTGTCGTGTGGAAGTTTATAACGGAAGCCAAAGACTCTGAACGCGTGGTGACGTCGATTCTAAATGTGGAAGGGAAACCCCGGGGGAGGACTCGGGGAACAATCCACGTGGCCACGAGGGGAGAGAGAGAGAGGAAGGAGAGAGAGAGACGCAGACTCCACATCTACAGCAGCAGGCAGCAGTCATCATCGTCAGTGGCAGGGATAGAACCCACGACCTCCTGCACATCAAGCGAGGTAGTCAACATCTCCTAGCCACCGTAATGATGATGAGAGAGAGAGTCGCAGACTCCAAATATACAGCAGCAGCAGCAGGCGTCGTCAAGGTCAGGATCGAACCCACGACCTCCTGCACACCAGGCGAGGTAGTCAACATCTCCTAGCCACCGTGGTGATGATGAGAGAGAGACGCAGACTCCAAATATACAGCAGCAGCAGGCATGGTCTGGGTCGGGATCGAACCCACGACCTCCTGCGTACCAGGCGAGGTACTTAACATCTCATAGCCACCGTGATGATGATGATGAGAGAGACGCAGACTCCACATATACAGCAGCAGGCATCGTCAGTGGCAGGGATCGAACCCACGACCTCCTGCATACCAGGCGAGGTAGTCAACATCTCCTAGGCCACCGTGGCGCTAAGGGCCTGTGTGTGCCCAGGTCTCGGGGCTGGGTTTTGCGTGGGACGGGCATCTCTCAGACTCCCTGGAGCCTCTGTCACGAGGCCTCAGCCCACGCCCGAGGTCAATGGCTGAGCGTTTATCCTCGACTCTTATCTGGGCAGAGTCACGGTGACCTGACAGCAGAGCGAGAGACAGAGAGGGAGGGAGAGAGAGAGAGATTAGCCACTGCACTCGGTGACCCGGACGAGGCAAAGTCAGGGCAAGTCATATTCTTAGCTCTTTCGGTAAAAGTCACGTTGAAGGGAAACAATAAAATCATAAAATATATATAAAACAATTAAAATTCTCACGACGTTTCGACCATAACACAAACGGTCGCCATCAGGTGTGAAAAAGAGCTAAGAATATGAATTACTGCAGTCATTAAAGCTTTAAATCAAAATTTCAGGGCAAGTCGTAAGATGTGGACAAGGCGGCTATGAGATGTTGACTACCTCGCTTGGTACACAGGAGGTCGTGGGTTCTATCCCAGACCCTGACGATGCCTCCTGCTGCTGCTGTAGATTTGGAGTCTGCGTCTCTCTCATCATCATCACGGTGGCTATGAGATGTTGACTACCTCACCTGGTGTACAGGAGGTCGTGGGTTCGATCCTGACCCTGACGACGCCTGCTGCTGCTGTAGATTTGGAGTCTGCGTCTCTCTCTCATCATCATCATCACGGTGGCTATGAGATGTTGACTACCTCGCCTGATACGCAGGAGGTCGTGGGTTCGATCCCAGACCCTGACGACGCCTGCTGCTGCTGCTGTATATTTGGAGTCTGCGTCTCTCTCTCTCTCATCATCACGGTGGCTAGGAGATGTTAAGTACCTCGCCTGGTACGCAGGAGGTCATGGGTTCGATCCCAGACCCTGACGATGGTTGCTGCTGTATATTTGGAGTCTGCGTCTATCTCATCATCATCACGGTGGCTAGGAGATGTTGACTACCTCGCCTGGTATACAGGAGGTCGTGGGTTCGATCCCTGCCACTGACGATGCCTGCTGCTGCTGTATATTTGGAGTCTGCGTCTCTCTCTCTCTCTCATCATCACGGTGGCTATGAGATGTTGGCTACCTCGCCTGGTATACAGGAGGTCGTGGGTTCAATCCCAGACCCTGACGACGCCTGCTGCTGCTGTATATTTGGAGTCTGCGTCTCTCTCATCATCATCACGGTGGCGAGGAGATGTTGACTACCTCGCCTGGTACGCAGGAGGTCGTGGGTTCGATCCCAGACCCTGACGATGGTTGCTGCTGCTGTATATTTGGAGTCTGCGTCTCTATCATCATCATCACGGTGGCTATGAGATGTTGACTACCCCGCCTGATACACAGGAGGTCGTGGGTTCGATCCAGATCCTGACGACGCCTACTGCTGCTGTATATTTGGGGTCTGCGTTTCTCTCTTCATCATGGTGGCTAGGAAATGTTAACTACCTCGCCTGGTACGCAGGAGGTCGTGGGTTCGATCCCAGACCCTGACGATGCCTGCTGCTGCTGTAGATTTGGAGTCTGCGTCTCTCTCATCATCATCACGGTGGTTATGAGATGTTGACTACCTCGCCTGGTACGCAGGAGGTCGTGGGTTCGATCCTGATCCTGACGACGCCTGCTGCTGCTGTATATTTGGAGTCTGCGTCTCTCTCTCTCATCATCACGGTGGCTATGAGATGTTAACTACCTCTCCTGGTACGCAGGAGGTCGTGGGTTCGATCCCTGCCACTGACGATGCCTGCTGCTGCTGTATATTTGGAGTCTGCGTCTCTCTCATCATCATCACGGTGGCTAGGAGATGTTAACTACCTCACTTGGTACGCAGGAGGTCGTGGGTTCGATCCCAGACCCTGACGATGCCTGCTGCTGCTGTAGATTTGGAGTCTGCGTCTCTCTCATCATTATCATCACGGTGGCTATGAGATGTTGACTACCTCGCCTGGTACGCAGGAGGTCGTGGGTTCGATCCTGATCCTGACGACGCCTACTGCTGCTGTATATTTGGAGTCTGCGTTTCTCTCTCTCATCATCATGGTGGCTAGGAAATGTTAACTACTTCTCCTGGTACGCAGGAGGTCGTGGGTTCGATCCTGACCCTGACGATGCCTCCTGCTGCTACTGTATATTTGGAGTCTGCATCTCTCTCTCTCATCATCACGGTGGCTAGGAGATGTTAACTACCTCTCCTGGTACGCAGGAGGTCGTGGGTTCGATCCCTGCCACTGACGATGCCTGCTGCTGCTGTATATTTGGAGTCTGCGTCTCTCTCATCATCATCACGGTGGCTAGGAGATGTTAACTACCTCACTTGGTACGCAGTAGGTCGTGGGTTCGATCCCAGAC